GGCCACTAAAAAAAATTTTTTTTGGCGATTTGTTGTAAACTCTAATATTTTTCAGAAAGTCGAAATTATATCCGGCAAAGTGTATGTAATAACACTGGGAGTATTTGAACATATGGATCAACCCTACAACAAGATAGCCGGTTGCCTGTACATATCAGCCTTTTATATTCTGATATTAACCTTGGGAATGCAATTCCTCTACCGTTACTACGCTTTGTGTGAGACGTGTTTAACAGTGCCAAAGCTTTTCATGTCCTATTTTGTAGGCATTTTAGTATGTTTTCTTGAAGGCTTTTCTGGAATGATTTTATTTGAAAATATGAAAAAGATACTATGAAGATAAGAGAGCATCCCATGTATACTGATGGCAATTTTGGGTATATGGTTGTTGACATGGTGAGCTTGGCAAAGAAATAACTTTTTGGATTTATATTGTTATAGGTTTTTACTACTTTTTAAGTAAAACGTTTTAAAGTAAAGTAAAGTAAAGTAAAAAGTAACTATTAAAGCTCCAAAGAACGTTTTGTTGTCAATTCTTATTTAGTTTTACTTTCAATAACAACAAAATTTTTGTGAATTAAAAAAATGGCTTTACAGACAAAAATTGGCCCAATATACCACACAATAATGACGCAATGTTTTATGGTTTTGATCTACGGCACAGTGTATTACACACACAGAAAAATAAAGGCAAAGTTTCAAGATTCTCGTTTTGATGGACGAACAAAACGTGCTCATCAAAGGCTAAGCAAGATTATGATTATTCAGGTAATTTACCATATAACTTTTTATAATGTTTTATGAATCTTATATCAGTGGGCAACCTTACAGTGAAAAAAAGTAGCCAATAATAAAAAAAGACTTCATGGCAAAATCATTTTCAAAAAGTATTTAGGCCACATACCCAGTGGTCATGTTAGGTGTTCCTTCTCTCGTAGCTTCCATTTGTGCGCAAGCTAAACAGGACATCTTGTGGGGCGGACTATTCGTTACGCCGTGTATATCACTAATACCTATTGCCAACGCTGCTACCGTTCTCTTCTGTATACCGTCGTTTAAAAAACGGTTGTTGCATCCACGAACCGTTGTAACTTCATCCATATCAGTAGTCAATAATACTAACAGTTCTTTACGTACACAGATATAAACAACTTAATGATAATATTCAGCATGTATTTCAGTTTGTTGATGATCAATATATAAGTGTCAACGTCTCAGGGTTTTCAGAATGCTCTACGGTATGAGCCGTACTGGAAGAAAGAACGAAGGAGAAAAGACAAAACTAAACATTTTGTTTATTGTATCACCTCACTAACAAAAAAAGTAAAACAAACATAAGATGTCATTTTTCATGGGCTTTCAGAAACTGTATCGATCGCTATTGTAACCGTATTACTCGTCGAGTTACAGTAATGTAAATATTACCTTGCTATAGTAAACATGATGAATATACGATCGAGTACCACAAAAAAAGTCTTTATAAGTTATTGTGGAGAAACCAACATAAAATGTCATTTTTCATGGGCTTTCAGAAACTGTATCGGTCGCTATTGTATCCGTATTACTCGTCGAGTTACAGTAATGTAAATATTACCTTGCTATATTATACATGATGAATATACGATCGAGTACCACAAAAAAAGTCTTTATAAGTTATTGTGGCAAAACCAACATAAGATGTCATTTTTCATGGGCTTTCAGAAACTGTATCGATCGTTATTGTAACCGTATTACTCGTGGAGTTACAGTAATGTAAATATTACCTTGCTGTATTATACATGATGAATATACAATCGAGTATTACAAAAAAAGTCTTTACAAGTTATTGTGGCAAAACAAACATAAGATGTCATTTTTCATGGGCTTTCAGAAACTGTATCGATCGTTATTGTAACCGTATTACTCGTGGAGTTACAGTAATGTAAATATTACCTTGCTGTATTATACATGATGAATATACAATCGAGTATTACAAAAAAAGTCTTTACAAGTTATTGTGGCAAAACAAACATAAGATGTCATTTTTCATGGGCTTTCAGAAACTGTATCGATCGTTATTGTAACCGTATTACTCGTGGAGTTACAGTAATGTAAATATTACCTTGCTGTATTATACATGATGAATATACAATCGAGTATTACAAAAAAAGTCTTTACAAGTTATTGTGGCAAAACAAACATAAGATGTCATTTTTCATGGGCTTTCAGAAACTGTATCGTTCGTTATTGTAACCGTATTACTCGTCGAGTTACAGTAATGTAAATATTACCTTGCTATATTATACATGATGAATATACGATCGAGTACTTGTGTCTTTCAAGCACTTTTTTGACTGTTTAGACGAGCTACGATCTGTAAATTTAAAAATGTAAGTTCATTTAAAGGTTTTCTACTAGCATATCGAAGAAAAATTATTAAAGGACCAATGAGGATAAATTTTCTGACTTTTCATTCCGCAACAAATCAGGATTTCCAATCGAGACCGCAAACTCCAAAAATTTTTTTTTTTCGAATTATTTTTGTTGAAATTGTTGTTTCTTGAAGTATATTCCAAGAAACAAGCCTAACTTTCATTCTAATTGTTGAAAATATTACAGAAATAACATGGTTTTACTGTTTTTAAACGTTATTTTTGTAAACTGTGTCAAAAAGTCGTTTAAAAAGTGTAAAATTCTTGAGTTTTCTTCTTCTGTTTCTAATCTTATGTTGATATTCGCTCTAAACCTTCATTAAATGGATCCAAAGACATCGATTCGATTAAGGTTTGCAAGTCTTGACATCAATTTGATATGGATAGAGTCTTTTAAACTCCAAGGATGGTTTGATTTCGTTTTTGGTCAAAGTCTGGTATGTTATTGTTGTTTTTTGTTCGATGCTTTAGGTTAATATAAACTACAGGTTGTTTGGAAAGCGTAGAAGGACAAAGGAATGACGCTTTAATAAGGTAAAGTTTAAGTGGACTTCAAAAAGAGTTGGTAAATATGTGGAAGAGTGTATCATATTGTTTTAGGTAACAGTGAGAAAATTTGGATTGAAAGGAAAAAATGTATTCAACGGTAATTCTTCGGACATGGTTTAAAGAAAACGGACAAGACTCTGATATGGATAAAGATTTTTGAAGAGTTTGGTGTCGGTTTGAATAGATGTTGAAGTAAGTAAAATGTCTTGTTGGTTTCTTGATTGTTTTAGGTTAATTGTTGTCCCCTTTATAAGATTGTGCTGCTAATTCGTTATGTGATGTCAAAGCTAGTGGAAATTGGTTCGATTATAACTATAAAGTTTAATCTCAAATTCGAGTAAATGTTACCTAAAACATCATAAAAGATGCGCAAACCTCTATATTAATATATACGATTCGAAACCTTTGAGAGTTCACAAAATCTTAATTTTCCGTCTAAAAAAAGCTCATCAACCTCTCTTCCAAACTCTTGTTTAGTGTATATTAACCTAAAGCATTGACAATATTTAAATTACCAAACTTTGGCCGAAATCGGGAAACCGCTTGACCAACTCACTTTGAGAATTACAACGTTTCAACACTCAAAGTTGATGTTAATTTTTTATGAAAGCATGTCCGAAGAGTTGCCGTTGAATCCAGTTCTTCCTTTCAATCCAAATTTTCTCACTGTTACCTAAAACAATATGATACACTCTTCCACATATTTACCAACTCTTTTTGAAGTCCACTTAAACTTTACCTTATTAAAGCGTCATTCCTTTGTCCTTCTACGCTTTCCAAACAACCTGTAGTTTATATTAACCTAAAGCATCGAACAAAAAACAACAATAACATACCAGACTTTGACCAAAAACGAAATCAAACCATCCTTGGAGTTTAAAAGACTCTACCCATATCAAATTGATGTCAAGACTTGCAAACCTTAATCGAATCGATGTCTTTGGATCCATTTAATGAAGGTTTAGAGCGAATATCAACATAAGATTAGAAACAGAAGAAGAAAACTCAAGAATTTTACACTTTTTAAACGACTTTTTGACACAGTTTACAAAAATAACGTTTAAAAACAGTAAAACCATGTTATTTCTGTAATATTTTCAACCATTAGAATGAAAGTTAGGCTTGTTTCTTGGAATATACTTCAAGAAACAACAATTTCAACAAAAATAATTCGAAAAAAAAAATAATTTTTTGGAGTTCGCGGTCTCGATTGGAAATCCTGATTTGTTGCGGAATGAAAAGTCAGAAAATTTATCATCATTGGTCCTTTAAAAGTCAAAAAAATGGCAAAGTTACAAGCTTGAAACTCAATGCCAAGTTGGCAGGAAATTTAAAATGTCATTTTCTCAAGATTTCTTGAAAAGCGCAGTTTAATACTTTGCTGAAGATCTTATATTTACATGACCTTTTTATATAAAAAGTTTGAAGTCAATCAGAGCGGGGCAGGTCGGGCACTTTCCTTGTATACTATTCATTTTAAATTTTACCGTATTCATTAACCTGATAAAACTTTGTTCTCGTAATTGTTTCGAATTCACTGTAATCGCCCGTCGACTTCCTTCTTCGTCTAAAGCAGTGTAAAATCGCGTCGAATATTCTGAGAACTTTTGACTACTTCCTTAATTTGGCGTCGGTGCGTTAAAGCAAAAACAAAACGATGGGTTGGGCGAGGCTAAGGTATAAAAGAAAAGGGTGGATGTTTACTTGTATCAAGTCAGTGATATTGACTTTGGTTTAAAAAAATTTAAGTTTTTTAACTTTACGGTATCTTGATTACTATAGTAGCTGTGTTTTACTATCTACTATAACCCCTACTACAACATCAACATGTCTCTACTATGTTGCGGTACCATCGACTTTCAATTGTGTCACTTCATTGCAATCCAAAACTGGAAAGTCAATCAGATCAAAGTCTTAGTACAAAAATCTCGACCACTATCACCTACAGTAACCCAGTTTCTAAAAACCAACAAAATTACAGTATCTTTTACCAAAATTCTTTCGTTGGACTACATTTTACTGAATGTCTTAGAAGAACTAATGCAACCAAACGGACATGTTGACTACGTGGTCAACAACTTGGGCAACGACTTCTGTGGACCTGACTCAATGTTCAATGTTATTCATGCCAAAGACAATTTAGTGCAAGATCAACTGGTCAATTACTCTTTTACATTTGCTAGAGTTGTCAGTAGTTTGATGTACAACAAGATTTATGTACTTGGTACTAATAGTACTGAACGTCAGGCTTTGAATGATGCTTTGTTATCAGTTGGAGTTGTACTGAATGGCATGGAAATTGATGTTAAAGTAATTTTGATGTCAAGTGCTAGAAAGTACTGTAATAACGTTGATAAATTGAAGGCTTTGGAGGTTGAGAACGGGCAGTTTAATGAAATGATGACATATAACAATGAGCAGTTTAATGAGATGACTTCTTATGATAATGGTCAGTTCAATGAAATGGCTACATACGATAACAACCAATTTAATAAAATGACATCTTACGACAATGGTCAGTTCAACGAGATGAGTTCGTTTGACAATGGACAGTTCAACGAAATGTTATCTTACAGTAACGAGCAATTCAATGAAATGATGACTTATGACAACTCCCAGTTCAACCAGCTACAACCTAACCAAGCGGTACGAGCTCATTTATAAATTGTCATTTTTTTAAAAGTTTTTTTTGTTATTTATATGACTATATGTATCATGCTTTATCACTTTGATTTTTAGCCTTTAAACTTAGTATAATGTATTAATTTAAAATTTTTCATAATGTAGTCTTTAAGTAGTTTTTCATATTGAATTTTAAAGATATTGCTCTTGAAATCGATTTTCACAACGCTCCTCTCTTAACACTTCATTTTACATTGACATACGTGGTATTCACATCAGTTTATTTTATGTTTACGATTGATTGTTATACATATTGTGGTTATTTATAATACTACGGGTAAATAAATAAAAAAAGAAAAACTTAATTTGGTTTTATTTGTGGTTTAACGTTTTTAATTAATGTTTCAACTCTGTAAAAACACTAAAATTAAAAAAACCATAACTTATTAACTTCTTAATCCACTTATAAAGAAAAATTGTAGAAGCAAAAATTAGCCATTGTTTTTTGTAGCAAGCGCTCTTCACATACAGTTGAAATTCTGTATAACAAATTCCTCGGTGATTCTGAAGGTTGTTCGTTATATTGGAGGTCGTCATGTAGAAGTCCGTTATACGTTATAATTTTGAGTTTGTTATACAGAAGTCTGTTATACTACAAGAGTTGGTTATAAAGAAGTCTAATGTAGAGGAGTTTTTCACAGAGAAGCTCACCAGACAAGTGTTTGCTATAAAAGAGTTTGTTATACTGAAGCCTGTTGCACTACAAGAGTTCATTATACAGAATCTCGTTATAAAAGAGTGTGATGCAGAGCAGTTCGTTATACAGAAGTTCACTAGACAAGTTATCGTTATAAAAGCGTTTGCTATACAGGAGCTTGTTACACAGGAGTTTGTTATAGAAAAGTTCTTCAGTGCGTTTGTTGTGGCTTCTAGGAAAATCTATTTTTTCAGTTCTTCAGACTCAAAAACTTCCTTTTTCAGTCGAAAACTGTTTGAATTCAAATGAATTCGTCATTAATTCAATCAGTCTGTTTTACAGTTTCTTTATGTTTACTTAACTATCGGAAGCACCGAGAGACGTTCTCAGTAAACAATGGAGTTACAATAAACAGTGTAATAAATAGAAAAGTGTAATACAACGTTAAATTAAACAGTGTAATTCAACGTTCCGATTACTTAATTTACTGTAAATTGAAACAATACAAACAAGTGACTAAAGTGTAATGAGTCATGTTAAAGAACGTTTTAAAGTTTAGTTAATGTTGCATACTTTTGGATAAAAAGTGCTATTGTAGATGTTTGGTATATTACTGGAATACATTGTGGCTGAGTATATATCTTCACAAGAATCCTTACTGACTTTGACCTTAAACAAAAGCAGTTTTTAATTTTTCAAAAAAAGATGTCAAAGTTAATTAAACCAGTTCCTCTTTTAACTCATACTAGTCATATCTTCAACAGACTACCAGCATTTTTTTGCAAAACGGACGGCTAGACTGGTTTTTGCCAATTTGAATTTACGGTTGAGCGCAACGTATTATTTTGCAAAAAAAAAATTAGATAAACTTTAAAATTTGAGCTTACAATAAAGGTTATATGGTTAAGTATTGTAGAATTTGAGATATTATTAGGAAGTTAAAGCTAAGGGAAGCTAAAGTAACGTAGAGTAGGATAAAGTAGGGTAGAATATGGTAGTATTGTAAGGCATGGTATAGTAGGTTGGGATAAGGTAGGGTAGAACCGAATAAAATAGTGTAAGGCATGATCTAGTAGACTGTGGTAAAGTAGATTGGGTTGAGTAGGGTAGAGTAGGATAGGTTACACAATGAAACCTCTGTATAAGGCACTCCTGCATGACAAGCCCTCTGTAAAACGAACAACTTTTGAATCTTTAACACTGCACAACGCATTTTAAACCTCTACATAACAAAAAATTTTTCCACAATCATATGTTATACAGCGCTTTCAGCGTGTTTACATCACATTTATGTTTATATTGATTACTCTTTCAATATCGACCAATTCCACTCAACAGTAAACACAAAACCACATCATCTAAACCATCAGATTGAGATGAAAGATCAAATCACAAATCCTGTAACAAAAAGATTAAGTTTATGAAACGGCTGCACCATTATTAATAAAATGACGTATTTGCTCCATTTTTAAGATTTTTCTGATAACAAAGAAAAACATTTAAAAGCAAAGGCAACTTAAGTATGTCATATTAAACCGCGACATCATTAACCGCATTATCTTGACTTTAAAGATACAAACATAAAACAACTTTGGTCAGCTGAAAGTATTTATTTCGCAAAGGCTTATGGTCTGAAGCTTGAGGTTATAAAAAGTTAGATTTTTGATATTTTGATCTTATTTTTAATTGAAACAAAAAAGGCTTATCTACTTTTATAGCATTACGATAAGTATTATATTTTTATCTTACTGCTACAGTATGAAAAGCTTTAGTAATGCCGTACTGCTTCTGGTATTGTGCATTACTTTTCTAAGCACTGTAGAATGTGCTAAATTTACTGTAGGATTAAAGCGTCATCAAAAACCAAAACGTCATAGTAGGTTTTAAAATTGTAAGAGAACAATTTTGAGTACAACCTTTTAATTTTTTTTTATTTTTGTATAATTAACTACCTAGAGAACAATTTTTACTATTGTCCATCTTTGTTTACTCGGAGATTTGAAAATAATTCTTCGACATTTTCAGTAGTTAGGGATGACTCCAACTCTACAACTCCAAAAACATACGGAGAGCTAATGGCTTCTCAACATAACTTGGAGTACCAAGGTAAATTAGCGTCTACTTGTAAAAGCGAACCACGATATACGATACACTACGTAATGTAACAGCCGTACTGTGCTGTCCGCCTTTGCCTTTGCCCTGCCTTTGCCCTGCCTTTGCCCTGCCTTTGCCCTGCCTTTGCCCTGCCTTTGCCCTGCCTTTGCCCTGCCTTTGCCCTGCCTTTGCCCTGCCTTTGCCCTGCCTTTGCTTTGCTTTTGCCCTGCTTTTGCCCTGCCTTTGCCCTGCCTTTTCTGTAAATACTTTACTAAAACCATACATTGCAGGGCTAGTAACAGTTGGCACTCCACCACAAATTTTCCAAGTTATCTTTGATACTGGATCTGACGTATTTTGGCTGCCAAAGAAGGGTTGCACTAGTACTGGTGATGATACTGACGCTTGTGCTAGTGGCAAAGGGCTTTATGATCCATCAGCTTCTAAGACTAGTAAAGACACAAAACAGCCATTTCAAATTGAATATGGCACTGGGTCAGCTACTGGCGAGTATTATCAAGATGTATTGAGCGTAAGTGATACTGAGCTGTATTAAAATCTATGTACTGTAATACTAAAAAGTAACATGTTGCTACTGTAACTTTATTTTCAGTTTGGAGACGCTTCAAACTCATCAATTGTCTCAATTGGCAACGTAACTTTAGGTGCCGCTCAACACATGACATTTTCTGACCAAGGCATCCTAGGTTTGTCATTTCCAGTACAAAATGACTTTACTCCCGTGTTTATAACAGCGGCCAAGAGAAAAGTCTTTGACAAGCCTATTTTTACCGTATTTTTGAAAAAGTGTAAAGATGACTGTGACGATGGAGGTCTGATCACCTTTGGTGGATTTGACAACCAAAATTGTAAAAAGATTATTGGAGCTACAAGTTTGATTGGCGGAGTACCTTATTGGATGTTCAAGGTCAACAGTATTGGTACTAAAGGTGCTGTGGTCAAAAATCAAAAGGTACGGTCGGGTAGAGTACGGTATGATGCGGTAGGGTAGAGTAGAGTGCGGTAGGATACGATAGGGTACAATAGGATACGGTAGGGTAGGGTGGGGTACGATAGGGTTTTTTATATTTAAGTTTTAAAAAAGTAAATTTCAGGCCATAGTAGACACTGGTACCTCGATAATAATAGGCCCACAAAGTGCAGTCGGAAAAATTCTCAAAAAAATTGGAGCTAAAGACATCGGAGGCGGTAACTACATAGCCAATTGTAATGCCAAATTCTCTCTCAATCTTAATATAAACGGCAAAAAGTACTCTGTTAGCTCAACTCAAATGCTTCTCGACCAAGGCCAAGGAATCTGTCAAGTCGCTCTTGGATATGATCCTGAAATCAACTTCTGGATACTTGGTGATCCATTCCTACGTCAATATTGTACGGTCCATAACGTTGTCAAGAAGATTGTTCAGTTTGCTCCGACGAAGAATGGCAGTGGAAAGAGGACGGGCAAAAAGGGCAGAAGAGGATAATAATAGTCATAATTATTGTATAGCTTATGTAATGTTAATCTATATTGTAGTAAATAATATCAAGTTACAGTAAGTCCTTTACAGAGTGCGCCTTATGTATAAAAAGTTGTTCAAAGCTTTTAAAATTTTCTGATATAAATAGGATTACTATACAGGATTTTCCAACGCATTTTTTACCGTTGTCCAAAAATTAAAAGCAGTTCGTTATACCACCTTCTCATAGAAAAGTTCGTCATGCGAAAGTTTTATTTGCTGCATGCAGTGCTGTTAAACATTAAAAATGCATGTAAAATAACGTTGCGTTGTATAATTAAACAATAATAGTATTTTCGTAAAACGCTCTAAACTGGCATTTAAAAGCGATTTAATTAAGAATAATTTTTAAACCGTCCTTAAAAATTAAAATTGATGATGATCAGTTATTATCTCAGCCTTTAAGATAAGTGCAAAGAAGCCGCACTAAACAAGCTGGCACAGTTAGTACTTTAATGAATTTATATGAAGATCCGAGTCAGGTTGTACAAATTTTGATACAAACCAGTTCAAAAATTTGGGCACGCTCTGGCTCTTTTATATCTAGTCAATACCCTATTTTTTAAATTGCCCCATGTTGGATTTTGAAGCTGTTTCAAAACCCTTAAAATTATCATAACTTAAATTACAAAACAGCTGTTAACTCATCGCATAAACTAGAATGAGTCACGGGTTACAAATCGAATCTGCTACTAGGTATTTAAATACCAAAACGAAACGAAAACAAAACCAATCGCTTACTCTATGAAGTTTTGTTTTTTAATCTTGTAAATCATGATCAAATTGTGTGTAATTTTACTTTTACTTTATTTTTATTATTTCACGTCATATTCAGTTAATGGCGACAAAATTAAGATTGGGTTGAAACGACATGAGAAAAATAAAACTTATGGTAAGGTTTACTGCACTGACAATGGCTAAGGCAAAGGCTTAACATATAGCTAGAGTACAGGCTAAATTTAAAGATAAAGCTCCAGCTAATGCTAAGGCTAGGTCAAGAGGTATAGCTAGGTTCAAAAATAAGGTTAAACGTTTTAGTAGCCAAAGATGCCACTACAACGGGTGCAACAACAAAAACGTATGGTGAAATCATGGCATCACAGCACAACCTTGAATACAAAGGCATTGTCTCCGTTGGTACTCCTCCACAGCAGTTTGAAGTTGTTTTCGATACAGGGTCGGACATCTTTTGGCTACCTCAAATTGGCTGCCAAAGCTATGGTGTAGATGTTCATGCATGTGCTAGCGGTCAAGAGCTCTACAATCCAAATGCTTCTAGTACCAGCGGGGACATACATAGGGCATTTCAAATTCAGTACGGTACTGGGTCGGCCAATGGGAGGTACTATGATGATATGCTTAGTGTAAGTAGTACTAATCAAGATTTAAAAAATTAGTCTTTTTTTTGTGTTATTATGGTTGATGATAGTAAATAAAGTAAAGTAAAGTATTTAATAGTTACTGGACTAAAATATAAAGAAACTTTTTAGTTCGGAGATGCCACAACCTCATCATACATAGCCGTAGGCAATGTAACTTTAGGCGCCGCTCAACAAATGACGTTTTCTGATCAAGGCATCTTAGGCTTGTCATTCGCGGCCCAAAATGATCCAACTCCGGTCTTTCAGCTAGCTGCACAAAGAAATGTTTTTGATGAACCTGAGTTTACAGTATACCTAATGAAATGTAGTCACAACTGTGATGAAGCTGGCTTAATCACATTTGGAGGGTTTGACGACGAACATTGTGAAGCTGTAATTGGTGGTACCAACTTAATTGAAGGTGTACCATATTGGATGTTTAACTTAGACAATATTAGTGTAAATGGGAAGACTTACAGTAATCAAAAGGTTGGTTAAATTTTGCCATCAGTTTTTTACTTTACTATATATTTACATTCCAGGCCATAGTAGACACAGGAACATCAGTAATAATAGGTCCTCAGTCAGCTGCAGTCCAATTGATTCGCCAAATTGGAGCACGTTCAGTAGGTGACGGTAACTATGTCATGGACTGTAGCGCTCAATTCTCGCTTGACTTTACGATAAATGGTCAGCAATACTCGGTAAACTCGGATCAATTACTACTGTCTCAAGGGTTTGGTATGTGTAATCTAGCCATCAGCTACGATCCTGGAGTTGACTTCTGGATTTTGGGTGACCCATTTCTACGTCAGTACTGTACGGTGCATAATGTAGTTAACAAGACTGTACAGTTTGCACCTTCTAAGAGTGCTACAAAGGCTACTGGTGGAGGTAATGGTGGTACTAGTGGTGGTGGTAACGGTGGTAACGGCGAAGGTAAGGGTGGTACTGGAGGCGGACATAGAAGGCCTCATGGTGGGCATGGTAACAAAGGTACGACTTTGTTCAAAAATAACAAGAACTTTCTTTACAAAACCAAGAATGATTAATCCTATAATTCACTTTTAGGCCAAGGCAATTTCCCCTTCGGATCTCCCTTCGGCAATCAAGACCCCTTCTCCGGCTTTCCTCAAGGTGGTTCATTCGGTCAACCATTCTCTTCTGGAGGCCCATATGACCCCTTCAGCCCATTCGGCACTAGCCTAGGCGATCCTTTTGGTCCAGGCTTTCAACAAGGCAACTTTGGAGGAAACGCATTTTCTGGCCCGAATTTTGGAGGTGGTCCATTTGGATCTTCTCCGTATGGAGGTTATGGAAGCTATGACAATTTAAATGATATCTTTGGTCAACTTGGGCTACGACCCCGGTGGCATCGTAGACGGCTTTAAATTCGTTCAAAAAATATTTTTGAAATTTATTGTAGTTTCGGAGAGTTTAATGTATTTCAGTTTTGAAAGTCATTTTCTGTGTATTTATGTATTAATTACTGATAAAATAAAGCTATGAAATCTACTGGCATACTATACTTCTCATAAAAATATAAAGCAGAGTCCAGTAGACACAACCGAAAGCAAGGCAAAAATCAGAGTAAGAAAGGACAAAACAGAACAGTACAACACAGGACGGGACAAGACAGTACAAGACAGGACAGGACAGGACAGGACAGGACAGGACAAAACAAAACAAAACAAAACAAAACAAAACAAAACAGGACAGGACAGGACAGGACAGGGCAGGAAAGAACAAGACAGGACAGGACAGGACAAGACAGGACAGGGCAAAACAGGACAAGACAGGACAAGACAGGACAAGACAAGATAAGAGAGGACAAGACAAGACAGAAAACAAACAGGGCAAGAAAGGACAGAACAAAAAAGTGGCGTAGTACGGTAGACTATTGCAGTTGGACCCGCGCGAGCGCACCCTTCTGATTCGCCACGACAACGATGGTCTTGGCATTCCGCACCGATTACGATAGCCAGCACGATAAAAGGAGAACGAGTCAGTCAGGATCAACAGTTGGACAGTCAGAACGTTTTACGGACACCGCCACTCTTTGGGGATTGATCTCGTTATAGTATATATTGTGGTTTTACTATTGTTATATATTGTTTATTAGAGATGTAAATCGTTTATATACATCCGGTGGGCCGTCGAAGTGATTATTAAGGTTAGAATACCTGGTTTATGATCTGTAGGACCGCTATTGAGATCCGAATGTGCAAGTCAGAACAAAGTAGGCAAGGCAGGACAACACAATACAAGACCGGACAAGACGGGGCAGAGCTAGTTGACTACTTAGACGCATAAAAGGAAGAACAGTCATGAACGATGAGTAACAAACCGTTTTTTAGATGGTTTGGAGATGAATTACACATCTTTATTGCTTTCTGACATAATTCATATACTAATATATTTTCTTTATTTTTATACTATTGTAATTTACCATTCTTAGAGTATGTTAAAATACATGTTGTATTTTATTCTAATTTATACCGTAGCTTCTGCACCATGGTTTTCTTGGATCAGTGTCAACGGAGAAATAGAATCAACTACTCAGGACTATAACGACAAGTCTTATGAAGAGGTGTTGTTTGATATAACTGGATTTCAAGAAGATATAATAACAAAACATCCCAAACTAGGCCAAGAGTTAAAGGATTTTATCAAAGACAACGGCACACGCTTTTGTGGGCCATGTAAAGAAAGTGTTGTTTACTTACAAACTTATAGTGGAGGAATATCAACTGCTGCCGGTGTTATTATTGCTACAGTAAACATTTTTACATTTTTATTGCTTTACTACTTATTTTTTTTAAATACGCTTATATACTTTATAACTTTTTAGCAAGTCTGCCCATACATTGTAACAACGTACCCTACAGTTGGTGGACCATTTTGTACTTTTATCACAAGCCCAATTGGAGCCAAGTTTGGAGCAATGTTAGTCAAAGCGGCCGAAGAGTATAAAGCTGACAGTGTTTGTTCATACTTTTACATGTGTTGAAATAAACTTTAAAACAGTTTTGCACTGCCTTTACCCAGCCTTTGTCCTGCCTTTACCCTGCCTTTGCCCTGCCTTTTCCCTGCCTTTACCCTGACTTTCCATGTCTTTGTCCTGCCTTTGCTCTGTCATGCTTTACTTTGTATTGTCCGCCATGCCCAAGACAGGAACAACAAGCCATGCCTGCCTTCTTTTACAATAACATAAAAAATTCAATATATGCTGCGATTTAAAACAAAATTGTATTAAAACATAAATTTAAAAAGCCTATAATTTTTTTGACATTTCGCCTTTCTTTTCTCTACTTGTGACACTTCGTCCAAGTCTATATTTTCTAGTTCTTTTCAAAAACAAAAAGAACGTATTTGAAGGTTAATTCGATCAAAGTGCAAAGTGTTCTTAATGTTTTATCATTTTTTGTTATTGTTTTCTTTGTTTTTTGTTGGAAATTCGACCATTTCTGATGGTTTCTACTCTCATATTCTGAAAAACTACGGAAAAAAAGCGGCAGATCGGTTGGCTAGAAAAGATTTGGGCTGGAAAGGAAGTTTTGGCGGTGGTGAAGATGTTGGGCCGATTTTACAGAAGTAAGTTGATTTATAAATGACAAGAACTATCTTTAAAAAACAAAAAAATGGCAAGAACTTTCTTTACAAAATAAAAAATGGCAAGAACTTTCTTTGCAAAAAAGAAGATTTTCAAGAACTTTCTTTACAAAATAAGAAATGACGAAAACTTTCTTTACAAAACAAAAAATAGCAAAAACTTTCTTTACAAAACATAAAAGGACAAAATCTTGCTTTACAAAACTAAAAATGACAAGAACTTTCTTTAGAACTTATATTATATAAGAAAATCATATAAGGCGTATTCATCGTATAACCTGTCATCTGCAGGCTGCAAAAACCTAAAACTCTTATCTTTTCAGAAAAGTGCCAATCCTTTTTGTACATGGTCAAACCCGTCGTGCCGGAGACTTACAGTACGTTCTGAAACACTTTCTAGAAGATGGGTACACATATGATGAAGTTTTTGGCACTTCATATGGTACTAATGTTACACATGACAACTACCATAGTGATATGGTGTACTGTAAATACATTATGCAGGTAAAGTACGAGGTGTTTTTTTTAAAGGTTTTACGACTTTTTAGCTTTGTAAACAAAGTTTTTGCGGTTAGACGATGTTTTTTAATTTTTTTTTACTTTTAGATACGTAGCATGCTAGAAGCAGTGTTATCATACACAAAGCATGAACAAATCGATATTGTAGCCTTCTCTATGGGAGCTGGAATGACCAGAAAGGTAAGTGGAAACAAAGTTCTTACTATTTTTTGTTTTGTAAAGGAAGTACCTGCCAGTTTTTGTATTCTAAAAAACGTTTGTGCTATTTTTTGCTTTGTAAAGAAAGTTCTTGCCATTTTTCGCTTTGTAAAGAAAGTTATTGCTATTTGTGTTTGTAAAGAAAGTTTTTGCCATTTCTTGTTTTGTAAAGAAAGTCCTTGCCGTTTTCCGTTTTGTAAAAAAAGTCTTTGCCATTTTTTGTTTTGTAAAGAAAGTTTTTGCCATTTTCAGGCCATTCTAGGAGGTGAATGTGTAGACACCAAGGAGAACTTAGGCCTATCACTGACTAGTAAAATCAGAAATTATGTTAGTGTAGCTGGAGTCCAGCGTGGAGTTGTCATCTGTGACAAAGTTAAAGATTATGTGCCACTTTGTAATGGTAACAATGGTTTACACTGTGATAGTGATTACAATAGAGATATCAACACTCCGTGAGCTTTAATTTATATGGGGGGGGAGGGGAGGAAAGTCTTGTCGTTTTTAAATTTTTTCAAATTAAAAAAAATTTAGATCAGGATACGAAGCCACAGAGAGAATAGTGGCTATAGAAACAACTTCTGATGACATTCTTGGAGCTACAACGTCTTGTAAGACTGACCCCGCTTTGTTTACTGGGGCTAATGAGGTTTACACGGTACGATTTAGCCTCTTACAACCTTTTTTACTTTGAAAAGCTATCTTAAAATTAAAAAAATTTTTGTTTTTCAAAAAAAAAAAAATTGAATTTGGTATGATTTTGAAATTTAAAAAATTGATTTTTAACTTTTTAGTTGAACGGTTTAGACCATCGTGCTGCCATTTGGTTTTTAGGCGAGGTGGTTTACAATATTACTCAAAAGATGCCATTAAAAAGCATGGAAGATATTGCAGCAGAAGCTATTAGAAACGCTGAAAAGTATTCGGACTATGACATTGGAATATTACCTTGAATTTCTTACGGACAGCATCAATAAATTCGACGAAAAAGATAATACAACTTGCCTCAATATAGGGTAGGGTTGGGTAGGAAAAGTCAACTAAGGCAGCGCGTGGTAAAGAAGGTAAAGTAGAGCAATGTAAGAAGTCAATGTTCAGCAGAGCAGGGTAGAATAAAATAGGATAATGTCAAGTTAGATAGGATAAATTAAAACAAAGTCGAGTAAAGTATGGTATGGTAGAATAAGCTACATAGAGCAGGGTAGGGTCAGATAGGGCAGGGTAAGGTAGGGTAGGGTAGGGTAGAGTAGGGTAGGGTTATGTTTTTCCAAGATATGTTTTTTGTTTCCGTTTGAAACTGTCTATACAAACAACCTTTGAAGATGTATTTTGTTTATTTTTTCGGCACTTCAAACAAAGTAAAGTACTCAAGTGAAGTTTCTGGGTATTCCCGCTTCCGCTGCACGGGATTCATTACAAATTGATCATTGTTGTTACATTTTTGAACATTGTTGAATTTTTACTACAAATTGTATAAATTGACTAAGTCGAATAAGTTGGAACTCCGCTTGTTAGCTTGTTATTGTGCATGTCACAGCTATATTTGTGTTGTTTGTTGTTCCTAATGGTTAAAATGGCAGTTGCTAGTAGTTTGAATAGGGGTAAGTTTACATTTTTCTCGCTTTTATAGGCAACAGTTGAGCTTTTTTTAATTTTTAGATGTTCTTTAGGTAACGATAAATGTTTTTTAATGTTTTATTAGTTTCTTTAGGTAATAAATTCATTTTTTAGATTTTTTAATTACAGTATCCTTGTTTTTATAACTTTATAAGCATCCTCATGTTACAATTTTGGTTTTTTTTGCAATTTTAGTTAACATTATACCTGCTTTTAAATTTTATGAGCGTTTTTAGGTATATATCCAAACTTTTTTAGTTGTAATTAGCTAATTTATAATAAGCATCTTCTAATTTAGCCCCAAATTCAAAGCACTTCAACTTCGACATCAAGAAGTTTGAGGAATACGAGTATGAAACTGCAGTTCGACTCATGCTCAAAGTCAAAGCCAAAAAACTACTCAAGAATTCAGATGAAACCACCAGAAGACTGTATGAAATTTGCTCGCGAAATGCCAAAATCATTCCTGACTTGGCCAAATGTGTTGTCGACCTAATGGACCATAGAGATCGGTTGTATGAAGTTGAGTTTCAGAATGAGGTTGGTTTTCAAAATGAAGACAATCCTATCTTGATGTTCATCGACAGTTTGAGAAATGGAATGAGTAGGAAACAGGTTTATAGGAAGGGGAAGTGGGGGTCTGAAAGTTGGGAAAATGATGTGAATGGAAGGTACAAACGTGAGGTTAAAGAAGTTAGAAGAATAGACGAGAAGGTGAAGGTATTCAAGACTAGAAAACTGGGAATAGTAGCCAAGAAGGTAAAGATACTGAAGAGTAAAGAAATTGGAAAAGAAGACCAGAAGATGAAGGGAATGAAAAATAAAAAAGATGACACTGAAGGCCATGGTGAAGATTTTGATAAACTTCGAACAATAAAAGACACTCATGTTATTTATGATGAAAATTTTGTTGCTACAGATTATAAATCTTCGACACAAACCCATCAGCAACGTAGGAAACGTAGAATAGATACTTATTCATCGTCAAGAAGTATTCAAATTTTAAAATCTAAAGTACTATACTATAAGGAACCAGAAAGACAGTACTATAAAAAACCAAAAGTACTAGACTATAAGGGACCAAAAGTCCCATACTATGAAGATAACATCAGATCAATGCTCAACAACAAAAAGGATAATATCACCATGACATACATAAAAGAACCAAAACATATAGAACCAAGTTCCGAAGGCAAAACGTCAAGTTTAAGCTACAATAACCAAGCTTTACGCAATCAGAATCACACTCAACCAAAGTCATCGACTTCAAAATCCATTTTGGAAAACTATGACAAATATGTTCAACTGGCCAAGAAAAGAAGAAAATTTTTAAAATTGACTCATCAACCTGAAAAGCCTCAGGTAAATGTAAATAATGTAAAATACGGTTCAATAAATGATGAAGGTAAAATGCCAGAAGTTTTTAAAAAGCTACAAAAGATCAAAAGCTATTATCAAAAAGCAGAGTTTTGCAAGAACTTTATGAACAAGATCTCACAACAGTCTTCAAGGTAAGTTTAGTGTAGTCAACAGGGTTAGGCAGGCATATATTTAAAAATACTTTTTAAATCTCACAAGGAAAGTACCCGACCTGCCCCGCTCTGATTGACTTCAAACTTTTTATATAGAAAGATCATGTAAATATAAGGTCTTCAGCAAAGTACTAAATCGCGCTTTCCAGCCAATCTCGAAAAAATCGCAATCAAAAATTACGTTTTGAATTTTCCGCTAGCTTGGCTGGAAAGTAGAAAAAAGTGCTTGAAACACAATGCCAAATTGGCAAATTTGGCAGGAAAGCCAAATAATTTAAATTTAAAACTCAAAGCCCGGGCAAAAATTTTTTATATGTACTATTGTTGGTGCGAGTAACTTGTATAACTTGTATAAATGATTCTGAGCTTGGCAGGTAGGGTACTTCTGATAAAAAATTTAAAATTTTTTTTATTTTTAATTTTTAAACCTTTCATTTTTTTAGGTACTTTCAAAAACATAACCATACTACAATATACGAAAACGAGCCGTCATCAATGTTTACAGCTTTTGAAAAACTTACTCATTTATTCGAAAACAGTAACGCTTTCAACCGGCTGTCAATCCTGTCGCCACGCTTATTTGGTCTTTTTTCAAAAACCAAAAACTCTGATCCACAAATTTTGTCACCAGAGTTGTTCAGCTTTCACAAGAATGGGTTTTTCTCTATACCATCTTTATTCAAAGACTTGTCATTGGATCAAAATGAAGTCTATGAATGGACCCAATTTCTGATGACATTAACTGGCGCTGCCAAGAAAATAGATGACATTTTGAAGAACAACAAAGATAAAATTGAATTTGTTGAAAATGTGGCGTATCCTAGGATTAAAGCCTTCGAAAAGACAATGACTAAATATAAAAATTTTGACAAAACATATTCAGAAGAGCAGAAAGAAGAGCTACAACAGCATGGCTACACATTTGTGTCAGAAGATCAAGCTGAGATTTTGTTTAAAGATGAATTACATGGAAATGGCAAGAGAAAGAACCTACATAAAAATAGAAGGCGGAAGCGATACATTATGAATAATGAAGAGAGATTAGAGATGAAGATAAGGATGTTAGCTAAATTTACAGAAAATCCAAAGAAAGATGGCCGAGAAGATATAGAAATATATGAAGACAGAATAAAAAGAGGTCAAGCAGACGTAAAGGAAGAGCAAAAAGACATAAAAATGAGGCAAAGAGATCAAGAATACATAAAAATAGATCAAAAAGAAATAAAGATAGATCAAGAAAACACAAAAACAGATTCAGCAAGCCAAAATGTTGAACAAGAAGTAGTCAAAATAGATAATGATAATCAAGAAGATATAAAAGTAAACAAAAAAATAATAAAAACAGAGAAAGAAGAGATAAAGCTAGACCCAAAAGACATTAAAGTAAAACAAGAAGATCAAGAAGACATAAAAATAGACAAACAAAGCCTAAAAATAGATGAAGAAGGCTTAAAAGTAGAACAAGAAGATCTCCAAATGGATCAAAACACTATAAAAGATAGTGAATACGTTAGAGTAAAGAGAGACGGCAGTAATAGCAAAGAAGACGATGATAGCAAAGAAAACAGTGATAAAAAACAAACAATGATAAAAATGAAAAGCATGAACCAGCTGGCCCAAGGTTGATATTACTAGAACCATGGGTTTTTGAAAAGTACGAAGGAGCTGTCATACTAGAAGGTGTGATACTATCACCACATGCTTTTGCTATGGACTTCTTGTCTCCTGAGACTTTGACTGTAGGTTTTTGATATTAAAAACTTTTTTTTTAATTTGTTATATAAGAAAATCACACTATATTAAAGTGATAGTACCGTCAGTACCATTTTAATGAGCACCAAAATAAATGTTATAACACAAAATAAGTTACATTATCGTAGATGCACCTCCTGTCCCCAAGTGCCTTCTTTGCATCAGTACTGTCCCCATTGGCATTGTTCACTCGTATTTTATCGCCAGCGGCATTCAGAGCAGAAATCTTATCACCAGACGTACTGAGTGCTTACATCCTAAGTCCTGAAACATTGTTAACTGAAGTTTTATCACCAGCGTTTTTAAATTTGAGAGTTGGAAGTCCTAGGTTGTTGACGGTCGAAATCTTGAGTCCAAGTGAGTTTTTAGGAACTTGAGTAGGATAGTTGAAGTTACATTAATAAGTTTAATTTATAAAATTGATAATGATAACAGATAAAACAAGAAATTTTTCTGTATTTTAAAAAATCAGCTTAATTTTGAATATTATAGCGGTCTTATCTCCCCACATTGGATCTCCTGAATCTATGGGAGTACGCGTACTATCACCTAGCATCTTATCTCCACATATCATGAGTGATGGTCATTGGAATGTTGAAGTATGTTCAAAAACAACGTAAAGCAGAGTAGAATATTTTATAGTAGCGTAGCGTAAAGTTAAAAAATGAAATGTATGAAAGCGCAGTGTAGGATAAAGTATGGTAGGGTATAAAAGAGTATTGTTTCTTCAGTCTTTAACAATATGAGTTTTAGATCCTATCACCCCACTTGTTGAGCGGTCACGGTGAACCTGGGCATGATACGGAAGAGAATCACCATTTAAGCCCTGAACATCATCATGGTCACATGGACAATTTGTACGAACATCTAGTCAAAATTCATAATTATATCTTGAAATAAATTATTAAGTTTCAAACAAAAAAATTTTTCATTTTTGTTTTTAAATTTCTTTCGTATCTAAAAAACTTTGATCCTCCCCCCCCTACTCCCTATCTTTTCTTCTCTAACTCTCAGAACCACGTGTGCTAACCTAGCACTCTTTTTATTTTTATTTTGGGCCGGAACGAAGCCTAGTCTGGCCAAGACTGCGCCAGGCGTAGTCAGCTATTTTTCATGACTAGAATATAAAAAATTTGGGTATCCATAGCCTTGATCTAGATCGTAAAGGTACTTTGAGATGTCGAAGATAATCGTGAGCATACAAACCGGCTAATAGTAAGCGTTTGCAAAACGTATTTGATCTGTCTGTTTATCCGTTCAGTAACTTGAGTTAAATTTATTTTGGTTTCGGTCGTTATTCTTAGGTATAAGCTTTATAAATTTTAATTTTAAAAGATATGTTACTTTGTTTTTTTTGTACAATATTATCTTATAGTGGTCAGCTTTATAGAACTTTAACATTTTCTTTGTAAAATACGTTAAGTACTCTTTTGATACTTACATGATAATATGTTATATATAAATACAGTGGAACTCCTGTATAACAAACAACTTTTGAATCCCCGTCGAGCACTACACAGTGCATTTAAAACTCCTGTATAACGAACAAATTTTGAATCTCCGATCGATTCGTTATACAGGAGTTCCACTGTATATATAAATTAAGACTTATAAACATAGAGCTAGAAAAAGCCAAAAATATTTAAAAATTTGTGTAAAACGTCACAAGCCCATCAGAAATCGAATTTTGTTCTTTTCGGAATCCCCGCACTTACGACGCACCGAGTCGTAAACTTTTTGTCAAACAGTCGAGATATATTTAGATATCAGTCGTCAATGTATGAGTGAACAGTCACTGCAGGATTTTTTGGTTTGTTGACATTGTATACTGCTATCTTTATTTTACGTTTGTACCTAATACAATGTTTAAGGTAAATTGGCTTTTAAAAAGAGTTTTTTAGTCGTTTATTGCTTCGGGCGAATGGAAATCTTACCATACCCTAAGTTTTGCTACAAAAAAACATTTTTTAGTTTTTATGTTGATTATTTTTGTAACAAGTACGTTTCAACTGGTATAAGTTGTGCAAACTCACAAGTCATTTTGACTTTTTACTCTGTAACAATTTATTTATTTTTTACTTACACACAAAGTATAATAACAATTGTTTTTTTTATTTGCTAATCCATTGTATACATGGTCGAGTGGCCGGTTTGGTTTTTTACCCTACCCTATCTTGTCTTATTTTACCTTGGTTTTCTTGACCCTGCCTTGCCGTAACACTTTCTACCCTCTCTATCTTATCATATGTTAATGTACATAACATTAGGATACGCTACCTTAACTTACTTTACTCTAACTTACCTTACTCTTCTCTACGCTACCTTTCCTTATTCTATCTTACTTTACAATACTGTTACGTGCAGTGGCTTTGCATTACTTTAACTTATAATACTAGACTTTTTTCTACTATAACCAACTCTATCTTACTCTGCTCTACTCATCCTCTTTTACCGTATATTATTTTATTTTACTCAACTTTATTCTATCATGATATTCCCTACTCTACTATGCCCTACCTTTACCTATTTTATTCTACTTTACCTTACTTTATTCTACTCCAAACTACTGATAAGACAATGACAAAGGTCTTTATTTGATGACAAAATACAATTCTCTACTTACTTTTCTGCATATCGTACAATAACATTATTAACTTTTATCAGCTCTAAAAATTAATAAAACAGATTAGAAGAATATTTGTTTCTAATAATATAATACTCCACATTCCTCCGACTTTAACGCCCATTGTTACTTATGACTTTGGTGATCACAAGTTTACTTTTAATATCAAATTTTTAAAAAAAGTAAAAAAATTTGATAAAACATCTTGACAAGTATGAAGGGCTGTTTCGATAAAACATGCAAATCGCGTTAATTCGAGTGTTATCAACAGTTGTATTTTGCGTTCGAAAAAACATTCAAAGGCTCATTATCATTGTGTAGCGCCGACGGAAACGCAAGAATTTTGAAAGGCATATAAAGGAAGGGAACGTGAACGTTGGGACAAGCTTCCATCAGCTTCTTATCTGTCATTATGATAGAGGGGGAGGGGGGGGGGAGAAATGCGTGTTTATTAAAAAGTTGAGGCAACGTGAGGAACGGTATACAATGTTTCTTCAGATAAACACGTTTTTGGAACAGTGGGAAATGCTGTACGCTGCAGTGAAGCTCTTGTATACCAAACTTTTTTCAGATTTCAGTTTGTTTGTTACAAAGTAGGGTAGGGTACGATAAAGTACAGTACGGTAAAGTGCGACAGGGTAACCAAAGTAAAGTAAGGAAAGATATGTACGGTAGATTAAAACACGGCAGAATAGGTCGAAGCAGAACACGGCAAAGCAATGCAAAGCCGGGCAGGGCAGGACAGTTATATTTGTGCAAAATAGGTTAGGCTTAGAATAATTTTTCCTTGTGGTACTGTATTAAATTTTTTTGCAGGAATGTATTTTTTCTTATCAAACATACATTTTTCTTTTTATTACTTTTTAACCATTACGATAACTAACATAAATATCATGCTCACGCGAAGTTATTAAGAGATAAAGCATGTCAAATTACATCGTTTTTTTTTGTCGAACATCATGAAACAGTTTCTGTTATATTAAAAAAGTAAATTTGAGTAGCGTAGGCAGTGAGGATAGTTGATTAGGTGCCCTAACTAATTTAATTTTTTTTTAATTTTTAGTAAAATACGAACTAGTTCCAATTTATTCACGAAGTATTATAAAAGGGTTAATTAAATTTTTGATAAATGATAAAAACGTTAATAATTTTCCCGCCAGTTTTAAAAATGAACGTTTTGAACTAATATTTTGACCTTTTTTGATAAAGGTTGGCTAGGTACCTTTTTTTTAATTTTTTTAAATTTTTTGGTTAGTGTATGAATTGGATCGGAAGGGTAACTTAATTTTAAGAAACAAATTTTTAGTTAAGCGGGTTTTCATTTTCAAAATTGAAAAAAATTTTTTTTTGTTTTTTTTTCTCTTCTTATTCTATGGTAGGACATGAAACTTGAAAGTTTTTCTTGAAGTTTTTCCTGAAGTTTTTCTTCATAAATTGTTTTTACTAAATGGGACACTATTACGGTTCAACTATAATAGGGAGACGGTCTATACTACGTATTTTACACTTTTAAAAAATTTTCAAACTTTGACATGTTTTGATGATGTTATTTTATCTTTTCTTATTACATTGATCAAGACCACCTTTTATAGATTAGGCTTTTTTATTTATTTATTAATGTTTCGCTTCCGCTCAGAAAGCAGCTTATGTCCTATCATAGGGCCTATCAAGGAAAAGTTTTTATAAAACAATCTACATATGTAGCTTTTTAATTCTTAATTTTTTCATGGGGATGTTGTACTTGGTACTATTTTATTGCTTTTTTACTATTTTCGGTCTAAACAAGGTACTGTTTAGTATCGTACTATTCAGTTAAATATTTTTTATCTAGCATCCTTTCTTAAGAGTTTTTTTTTGGTTTTTAGTACAAGGATAAGGCTTTCACTATCATACTATTTAGTATCATAGTACTAGGCGCTTTTAATTTGTTATTTTAAAAGATGTGGTATAAAAGCACTTCTAGTATCATACTATCAAGTATCGTTTAAAAGTTGTTTTGTAAAATACGCTTTCTTATACTACTGTCGTTTATATATTGCCATATACCACAGTAACACAAATGATTTTCAGACGCCATGTCATCAAAAGGCGAGCCGATGGGATTCAGAAGGCTGAGATCGCTACGTCAGCAGATCAAAGTTGTGCTAGCACCCGTGGTATTTGCATTCATTCCGTTGATATGGCCCCGCAAGGTTTGTAGTTTATAGTTTTTAACCGAACAAACATGGTGTTCAAACATTGCATGGGAAAAGGGTTTAATCTTTTTTTAGACATTATGATTTTAAACAATTTAAAATTAAAAAAAAGGTGATACGTTTGATCAACAGGGCCGGATGGAGTAGGATAGGGTAGGGTAAGACAGGGTAGGATAGAAAAGGGTGAAATAGGGCTACAGTAAACAAAATTAGAAAAACGTTACTTTTTAGAGTTAAAACGCTTCATTTACACAACGAAAGTATATAACCTGCCCGCTCACAATCAGCTCAAAATTTTGTATATGAATTTCTTGCACCACCAATAGTACTCAAAAAAAAATTTTGTCTTGTGCTTTTGAGTTTTAAACTCTAAATTTTTAAGTTTCACGCCAATTTGGCAAATTTGGCATTGTGTTTTTAGCACTTTTTTTGCTTTTTCTATACAATCTATGTTTAAAAATTTAAAAATGTAGATTCATTTAAAGGTTTTCTACTAGTATATCGAAGAAAAATGACGTAGTTATAAGCTTGCACACTGCCAATTTGGCGGGAAATTCAAAATGTCATTCTGTGCTCTCGATATTTTTGGGATACTATGGAAATTGCAATTTAGTACGTTGCTGAAGATCCTATGTTTGTTTATATGATCTTTTATTATAAAACGTCTGAAGACAATCAAGACGAAGCAGGTAGACAGCACCTCCTTTGCAAGTTGGTTCCTTTCTTTCATTTTTTTGACTAGTACAGCACAATTTATTGTTCTCTACCTCTTCCACCTGCCCAAAATGTGACAAAGACAACTCAACAAGCTCACACGAACACCAACCGGTATAAAACACATAAAATTCGCTATGCAAAACACATAAAACGGCCTAAAAATGCAAGATTGCAACAAAACTTGACCAAAACTTGAGCTTTTTGCAATTGTCAGGATTGTAAAGGTGACTGATAACTAATTTACGACCATCTAGTGCATTCCATTAATTACTTGTTATTTTATGTGTTCTCTTATCTCCGTGATTTTTGAATTTTCAAACGTAATTTGTACGAAATGACATTGGTCTTTTGTCGAGTGACGTTCCGGCCATCAAAAACCTGTTTTATGACCAAACTGTCGGTGAACGTTCTGAATGGGAATGAGCTCAAAATTGGGTCAAAATTGATTTTTTTTGTAATATATGATAAACCAAACGTATTTCAAAAAGCAAAAAAAAACAAATTAAAATTATGCCCTACCCTATCTTATGAAAACCATATAAAAACAAGAATTTATGTTTCAGGAAGCCTATGCCGCCTACGTGGTATGTATCATGGCGTACTATTGGGTGTCCCAAGCCCTACCCATAGCCGTCACAGCCATGATACCCATCCTCGCCTACCCACTGTTCGGAGTAACAAATGCTCGACACATCTCGACCGTCTACTTCTCCGACAGCAACGTTCTCTTCTTCGGGTCAATGGTATTGGCAGTAGCAGTTGAAGTCAGTAATTTTCATGAGAGAGTGGCGTTGAAGATCTTATTGACAACCGGTCCAAATCCACGAAGACTTTTGCTTGGATTTATGTGTGCCACTTCTGTTTTATCGTTTTTCATTTCGAATACGGCTACTACGGCGCTGATGGTGCCAATTGTGGTTGCGGTTATTAAAGAGCTTGAGAATTGCCATGCTGAGTAAGTTTTGATTTTTAAAAACTTGTTTAAAGTTGCTTTTGACTTAAGTTTGTATTTCTAATTTGGTTGTGTCACTTTGCTTAATTTCCAATAATTTTGTGACTCTTCGACAATTTTTCCAATATTTTTGTGACGTTTCGTTTAAGTTAAAATAAAATGTAAAAAAATATTATAATATAAATATAAAAGTTACATTTTACACACTTTTTAGCTTTTTTGAGTTTTTCAATGACATTTTGACACTTCGTCTAATTTTAAATAATTTTGTGAAATTTCGTTAAAATCGTAAAAACTTTGAAGAAATAATGTATTTTATTTTCAAGTATATGTGATTTTTAGCTATTGTTAAAGATTTTTATATTTTCCAATAACCTTGTGACACTTTGTCAAATTTTCCAATAATTTTTTGCCATTTCGTCAAATAATAAAATTTTTAAAAAAATTTAGCACTACATAAAGGAAGTATTTAAAGACGATCAAACACAAAAATAAAATTGATCAAAATAATATTTTTAGAGACAAACTAGAATCCCAAGCATCAGACGAGATAGAAAGTGTAGAAGAAGAAGCTGGTGATGAAGTGCTAAACCTTACTGGAGTGCCAAAAGAACGTGTCAATATATATAAAGGTCTGTTATTATCAACATGTTTTACTGCATCTTCATCTGGTACAATTATGTTAACTGCGACTGGTGCCAATATTGTTTTAAGCGGGTATATGGATCAACAGTACGGTAGTAACCAGCCCATTACATTCTTCTCATGGTTAACATATGCATTGCCAATTTCTGGAGTGCTGACTGTTGTATTATACTTTTGGTTGATAATACTTTTCATTGGTTTTAAGTAGGTTTTTGGAGGCTTGAGTTTTTTTTGGGCGGAGTGTTTTTGTTTTTTTGAATAGGGGTGGTTATTTTGAAATTTTTCAGGTCCTTTGAATCAAGCCAAAATGACGTTATCACTAACCTTTTCCGTAAAAAGTACAACATGCTAGGTCCAATAAGATATGTTGAGAAGAATCTTATGGTTATGTTTGGATTGATTGTCACATTATGGCTTTTCCGAAACCCTAAAGTCATCCCTGGCTGGGGCAACATTTTTACCGCGGGGTAAGTTACCTACACCAAGTTTTGAATTACCCTACCCTACTCTTATTCGACCCTACAATGAAGAACCAATGTTATACTAATTTTTTCAGATACGTCAGTGACGGTACCGTAGCAATGTTCGTATCACTATTACTGTTCTTTTTACCGGCCGAGAATCCTTTTACATACACGGGTACAAAGAAGATTCCAACAATAATGAATTGGAAGCACATGCAGGAAAAGTTTGCCTGGAGCACTTTTCTACTGCTGGGTGGTGGTTATGGTATAGCTGCTGGTAGGTTTTCCTGTTTATCAGTGATTTTACTTTTATAAATATTATATGGTATACTGTATATACTTTACTCTAGGCTATATTGTATCTTATGGTCTACCGTACTCTTGGTTTTACTGTGCCCTATAACCTATTGTGCTTTCTGTACTCTCAGCCTTATTAAATCATGTGACCCTACAGTACCCTGGCGGTTATTGTGCCCTATGACCTACCATACATACTGTTCTTTAGGCTGTATTAAACCTTATGATCTACTTTACTCTAGGATGTATTGAATCATAAATCTTCCGTATTCTAAGCTTTAGCATGATCTATGAGCTACCCTACATACTGTAGTCTAACATAAGCTTTATTGAACCTTAGAACCTATTGTACTCTAGGGCTTTCCGTGATTGTACCTACTTTACTCTAAGCTCTACTCTACTCTATTGCCGGTTGTATCCTAACAACTATAACTAAGATAAAAACCCTTATTTTAGGAGTAGAAAAGTCAGGCCTATCAAAACTGATCAGTCGACATCTAGCTGAATTCAATGATCTTCCAGACTGGGCCTTCCTCATGCTCAGTGGCCTCATAGTAACCTGCCTAACCGAATTCTCATCAAACGTAACAACCGCTTCCATCTTTATACCTATGATGGATTCGCTAGCGCAAGCTCGTCAGTCTAATCCATTACTGTTCATATTACCCATCACATTATCATGCTCCTACTCTTTCATGTTCCCAGCAGCTACACCTCCGAATGCCATTGTGTTTGGACTGAAAGTAATGAGTTTAATGGATATGGCCAAAGCTGGGGCCATATTGAATATTGTGGGATTTGTGCTGTTACAAGGAATGACCATGACATATGGGTCATGGATATTTGGACTAGATTCAATGCCTTCTTGGGCGAATAAAACGGCTTTGGCATTGACTTCATATGATGAGTGGTGAACATTAGGCATGCTTTACCAAGAAGACATATATAATTTTTTTGGGGAAAAAAATAATTTGTGGAGATGTCATTAGTTAGTTGAGAATTTTTTTTCAATTTTTTACATAAAACTTGATTAAAGCTATGAAATGACTTTCTTAACGTTAATATTGTCATTTGTTTCTGTTGTACAGTATTTAAAAGTCAAACTTCTATTTTACCTATTTTTCTACTATTTTTTTCAAAATTACATGTAATGTAAAATTGAAGTAAGACTTTTGAAAATTATTTCATATACATAATATTTATTGCTAATAAACTTATTTACAACTTGTTATAGCATATATTATTTAGCTTTTTTAAAAAAAGATACGACTTCATGAACATTAGTCGTTACATATTTAATAGCACTTATATTTATGTTCTAACAAGATAAAGCGACCAATTTTAAAAACCAGGTTTATTTACAATTTGTCAGTCTGTTTTTTATATGGAAGTTCAAGTTGAGCTGGTACAAGCCGTTGATACGCCATGGAAACGACAATCAGTACAGTAATTAAAGGAACCATATTGAACAACCAAGCTGAAGTCGGGCCGTATTTGGTGAACAACGTGCTGAAATTTTTAAATTTTTAACAGTTTGTTTAAAATCTACTCTACCTACTCCACCCTAGTCCATCTTATTTTTCCCTACTCTCTTTTACCGTATCTAAAACTACCCTGCCCTCATTATAGCCTTACCTTATAGTAGGCGGTGCAAGAATCCTAGCAAAGCATGCAACAGTCTGAAACAGGCTTTGTTGATACGTTTGGGGCTTAGGTCCAATAATTTTTGAAAACAGGGTACTTAATACAACTGTCATCATGTTAAACACTCCTCCAGCAGTAACTACCAAAGCCACTGTAAACAACCAGAAGTTTATCTGTTTTGTATTTGAGCACCATGAGTAGAGGAATGATGAACATCCTGAGGTTGTAGCTGAAATTGGAACCGCATTTTTCGTATAGGCTAAAGCTCTAGGTTAGGGCTCTGAGCTATGGCTCTGGACTAAGGCTATATAAAGTAACAAGACCAATAACGGTAAAATTGTCATCAATTTTGTTACCATGATCAAACAAAAAATAAAAAATTTAAAAAGTGTAATAATGACAAATTAAATAAACTTTTATGACGTTAATCAAAGTAACACAATTAATAACTACCTTATTTTTTCTTTGAAACCACGAGAAGTCTGACTGAAAGGGTTGTTTTGCACTTATTAAAAAAGTTTTAGTTTTGATATAAATGAAAATGTCAACGAAATGAAAAAGGTATTTTCTTGTTGATGAAAACTGTAAAAATGTTTAAATAAAGTTTAAAATTGTGTTTTTTGTTATTGCGTTTACTGTAATGTTAGGGAATAGGAAGAACAAGCAAGAATGGCAATTTTAAGACATCATTTTAGGTAACAAATTTTGAAAACAGAAGATTTTTAGGTAACACTTTTTGGTACCTCATAGAAGAGTAAGGTAGAATAAGGTAGGGTAAAACTTACTTGAATTTACACTAACAGACATAACAATATTACTATTGTACCCGGGGTACGGTATTGAAGCCAACGGTAGAAAACACAAACCAATAAAGCCAAAAATAGTTAATAAACGAAGTGAGATCCTAAAAAATATTTTTTATTTTGTAAATTTTCACAAATTATAATTTAAAAAAAAACAAAATTTTTTTTAATTTTAAAAAGGGCAACAATAAAGTTTTTGAAAAGTAAATTTACCATTTTTCAACCTTGAACACTATAAATGCAAAATAAGTTATTAAAGCCATAAATCCTTGAACTGAATTGATTATCGATAAAATTTGTAGAGTTTCGTCGTTTGATTTGGCAAACATTGTCATTATATATGTAGCGGCTAAGCTGAAAATAAAAATTATAGTTTCTAAAAAGACTTGAGAAAAATGAGAAACGGGCTGGGCCAAGCTCCAAGGCTCGGACCGTTACTCATGTCTAAAGCCGAGCACGCAGTATCTGAGCACGGCACCTCATGGCACGGCGGTTGATTGCAAGGCAAGGCAAAGGCAGGGCAAAGGCAGGGAAAGACAAGGCAAAGGCAGGAAAAATGCAAAGCAAAAGCAAGGCAAAAGCAGGGCAAAGCTAAAGCAAGGCTAGGCAAATTAAAGAAATTTACGTCTCCGCGCAAGCAAACGAAAAGTATTGGCAAAATCTGGCAAAGTACATAACGCCCATAGCAACTTTGTCGCATCGTATCTTTTCTCTCATATTCTCGTCTTTGATTATAGCTGGATACACTTCTTTAAATACAAATTTAAATACAATAAGCTCTATTGTAGTGTAAAATAATACTAAAAATGGAGCAATAGTGTAGAGATTTAGCCACAAACGGTCATATATCTTGATTCCAGGGTAATTTAGCGGGGTAAATGTAAATTGTATTACTGAAAAATAGTAAATTTATAATAAAAATGATATCTTTGTTGTTTTTAAGGTTTTTGAAGTAATGTGACGAAATGTCACAAAGTTATTGGAAAAATGAACGAAATGTCAAAACATTATTGAAAAATTAAAATTAGTTTATCTTAAGAAAACATAAAATTTCAAAGTGATTTGTTATGTTTATGTACGTTATAGGACATACCTGGTCCTAAAAGCAAACCAAAAGCTAGTCCAGCAGCCGAAATTCCGTAAGCTCTAGCTCGATCTTGTGGTAGGCTAGCCATTGCTGTGTAACTTCTTGTCATCGTTAGAACAGCTAAAATTTTTAATTCAAAAATGTTTTCAAGCTTTTATTGTTGATCAGATAGTAAAACGCTGCGTATTTTACCTTCTCCAGTGCCAATGAAAAATCGACTTAAAAATATGACATATTTAGGTAATACCAAGCCAATTGGTGCCAAAATAAATATCAAGTTGCCAAACATAGTTAGTGTAAGACATAAGTAAATGGGTTTTACTATGGTGCCAATACTTCTGCTGTAGTAACCAAATAATGGGCATGCAACGACTTGTCCTAAGGCATTGGCCATAACTATTAGGCCATAGAAGCTGTCCGTTGCTGTTTTGTCTATCTAAAACAAAGAAATAAATTTAAAATTATAGTGATAAAAATTGTGCTTTTTGAGAATTTTATAGTTTTCTGATTTTGTGACATTTCGTCTACATTTCCGATAATTTTGTGGCATTTCGTTACAAAATTTAAAAAACGTGCAAAATTGTTTAACAAGTACATACAACTGACTTTAAAACAGTTAAACAATTTTTTAACAGTTTTTGATTTTGTGACACTTCGTCTACTTTTCCTACCCTGAGATCGATCCTCACTTACCACCTGAAGATAAGGCCATATAGGAGCCAAATACAATGCCAATTGAAACCCATACCCAAACTCCAAAGCCGCCACCACAAACAAGCTGCGCCATGGTGTTCGGGCCTTACTGTTCTGTTCTTTAATCAAATTCATTTCAAACTACCAACTCGATACAACGTCAAAACATTAAAGTAGTCATATTCGCGTTCGTTTTAATAAAAATGATTTCCTATCATATGTTGATGGGTTTTCGAACAGTAAAAGCACAGACAGTTAAAAAGTCATCTCAGAAAAGGGCGGGAGGGGGAAAATTGAATAAAGAGTCACAAAGCTGATCACATAGTTAAGGAAATGAGGAAGTTGATTAGAATAAAGGTGTCAGTTTGTGCTGAATATATTATACTTAACAAGAAATATTTAATTAAGAATTTAAAAATACAGTTTTAAAACACAAAAATTGTTAAAATAACTGCAATTTATATTCTGGTTTTTCATTTTTTAAAATATTTTGTACAACAAACTAACGAAAAAATATAAACTTTAAATCAATATATAAACTACCTTACCTTTATTATATCCTTACTTTATAAAAAGCAATAGAAGAATTCTAGCAAAGCATACTACAGTCTGAAACAGCCTTTGTCGATATGTCTGTAATTTACAGGGAAGGTACCATTACTGCCCTGATCAGAATCGTCTCAAAATTTTAAATGAATTCCTTGTACCATCAATAGTATCTATAAAAAATTTTAGCTTGCTTTTTTAATTTTAAATTAAAATTATTTTAGTTTCCCGTCAATTTGGCAAATGTGGCATTTTGTTTCAAGTTTTTTTTTTTACTTTTCAACTAAGCTACACTTACAACTTTAAAAATTAGGTTTATTTAAGGCTAGCATATTAATGGAAAATTCATAAATGTCAAGAAATAGCAAAGTTAAAAGCTTGAAACACAGTGCCAACTTGGCGGGAAAATCATAAATTAATTTTTTGATCTCGATTTTTTCGAAGTTTCCTGAAAAGCGAAATTTGGTACTTTGCCGAATATCTCATATTTATATAATAATTCTATATAAAAAGTTTGAATTCAATCAGAGCGGGGCTGGTGGTGTACTTTTCTTGTAACCGTGAGACCAAAAGGATAAGCCTAAAACTACCATTCTTGAATGCAACGTAAAAACTTGTACTTGTGACGTTTTATTCAATAAATCAAGTCTTTGTCATATTAAGACTAAGGCGTTCATGATGACATAGAAAGTTAAATCCCAGTGCTAAGCTGTAGATGGCTTAATGTTAAACAAGTAAGTTTTGATGCTATGTTCATACTTTGTGTCTTATACTTTACACGAAAAAACCCATCTAAGATTACGGTAAGTGTAAAGACGTTTTTTACAATAACTAGAATAACCTTTAAACAACATTAGACAAAAAGTAAAAGTTAAAGAAGTTTACCTTAATAGAGTATTATTATTTATTTTAGTCTTAAAATTTGTAATTTGCTCTAGTACATAGTTAACCTAACTGTTATAAAATAGACCGCGACAACAGCAACAAAAAGATGCTTCATGGTCCTTTAAATGTAATTTATTGTCGCTGTTTGACAGATAGTCAATGTACTTCTTGTTAAGCACCATGTAAACATGATGCTTGTTTTCTTCTTCCTTGACATATATATTTATTGGGGGAGAGCGAAGTAGGGTAAAGTTGTAGAAAGTTTTTTTAAATAAAAAAAGATAAAAATTTTTAAAAAACTGGGCAATGCGTTTTTTCTTGTTTTAGGTAACTGATTTTTTTCAGAGTTAGAGAGGGGTTACCGTCTGTCTTGTTAATTTTGTATGACTACCAGGGCCAGGCGGGGACTTTTGTTCTGGGGGCGAGGGTCCAAAAAATCGGCACAAGTACGGCCCCCCCCTCCCCAACGCCCGGTTCTGATGACTACTTATAGTTATTTTGTTGCCATGTGTTTATGTTCATATTCGAACGTTTTGCACCAATTTTCTTATATATTTGTTTACGGTAAACAAAATATGCAGTTCAAACGGTTAATTAGCATTCTTCTTCCTTCTGGCTATCTGCTAAAATTTACGCGTTTTATAATAGAATTTTATAACTTCAAAACTTGGGGCAAACTTTAGTTTTTATTAAATTTTGTATTGCTAAAAGTGTTGCCATAGCCATAGCCGTAGGTATATGTAGTCATAGCCATAGCAATTACAGTGGAACTCCTCTATAACGAATCGCTCGGGGACTTGAAATTTGTTCGTTATAAAGGAGTTTCGTTATACAGGAGTTTTAAATGCACTGTGTAGTGGTAGAGGGGGATTTAAAACTTGTTCGTTATACGGGAGTTTCGTTATAGAGGAGTTCGTTATACAGGAGTTCCACTGTAACTTTAGTCTACCAAGTCTATTTGCTCTTTAGTGCCGCGAGACCTGCCGTTCTAGATCATCTAAATTTACAGTTAGTTTTCTGAACTACTATATACGTATATTTATTTTTGTTTGGCTTTTTGTACTTGTTCTTCTAGTAAACTTCAATTTGTACGTTCTTAACACAAAGATTACAAGTAAATCTTATAAACGATTATCAAGAAGGTAATAGCTTTAAGATGAAAATAGCCTTAAGACGGTATTGCTGTGTTGCCAAAATTGTAACATTTTTGCGTGACTGCAATTATATGATTAAAGAGTTGCATTTGTTTATTGTGTCACGTGCCTATTTTCGTACTGTATGTTTTCTGTGAGTATATAAAAAATAAGAGAGTAATCTTTAAGATAACCAGTAATCTTTGTGTTATACGATGAGCTGGGTATTTACGTGTGGTATATAAGAAGTGAGAAGGGGGAGGAAAGGATACTAAAGAAAGCTTTTTAAAGCTTTGAAGAGCACAAAATATATCTGGATAGCGCAACTTAATACAGAGCAAGATATGTCTAGAGCTAGGGCTCTGGGCTAGGGGAGCTCTGGGCTAGAGCTCTGGAATAGGGCTCTGGGCTAGGGCTCTGGGCTAGGGCTCTGGGCTAGGGCTCTGGGCTAGGACTCTGGGCTAGGACTGTGACCTAGGGCTATGGCTGTGGGCTTTGGCTTAGGCTTTAGTTGTTTTAACAGTGCCTTAATTTTTGTTTTGTGTGCTACATAGTACATTTCTTCTGTGCTATAAACTACAAGTAATACTATTATTGTGTGTAGTTTTTCTAGGATTTCACAACCCTTTCTTTACAATTAAGTACATTTTTAGACCATTCTAATAAACTTTAATGTAGCGTGTCGGTCAAGTGTCTAAAACACTATTACACTATTCAAAAGTTTAAATAAGTTTTGTTTAGACTAAATATGGAAACATTCTTCAACACTGAGAAGTACGACAAACTGTATAACTGTAGTTACTACAGTGAAGACCTGATCCCTGAGGCACAAAAGAAGCATGTTTTATTTGGACTTGGCATGGTCGCTTTTTATTGTGTTTGTATGGTCAGTTTTTACAAATGTTGAGCCTATTTGGAAATCTTTAACCTATGATAACGTTTTTAACAACTTTTTTATAGTTCTTGTACGTACCATGTCTATTGGCGATAGCATTTTCATCCTTGATTCGTCGCTCGAGTTACCAATTGATGATGTTTTTGGGAATAAATCATATTTGTGGACTGTCTGCGTGTGCTTTGTCCGCTGGACTGTTGTCTATATTTGGAGTGGAGTTTTGTCAACGTCCTACTATTGTTTATTTTGTTGGTACTCTGGGACTACGTAAGTTTACTCCTACTATTATGAGCCGCTTTAACATAACTCTACCTTACGCCACCCTACCCTACCTTGCCCTACCCTACCCTACCCTACCCTACCCTACCCTACCCTACCCTACCCTACCCTACCCTACCCTACCCTACCCTACCCTACCCTACCCTACCCTACCCTATCCTACCCTACCCTACCCTACCCTACCTTGCACTTTTACTCTATTCTACCGTTTTTTCTTTACAATAATTTAACCTATGATATGTTACAGTATCTTGGTGCGGCTCCACAATGACAAGTTTCGTATTAGGTGTTAACCGCTGCTGTGAACTGGATAGTAGTGTAACAGCTGAAAGATTCTTTGGCGGTAACAGAAAATATTTTTGGTTAGTAGTCTTAACATTATATGCTATTTCACCAACAATATATACCATGCCACCTATATATGACCCTATTATGATGTCCGCCTTCTTCAACCCGCATCATGCGTACTTTAACGATGATGGCGCTATTGTAAGGCTTTTATATTTTCAGAAAATTTTGGCATTTTGCTACATTTTTGGTTTTCCCAATACTTTATATGTTTTCGTCAAATTTATAAATTTTTTCGATATTTTTGTGATATTTTGTCAAATTTTTAAAAAATAACTGGAGATAAAAGTTTCATATATATTAGATTTTAAAGTAGTTTAAAAAATACAATTCTTTAGTTGACGTTTCGTCAAAATTCGAAATTTTTCCGATAATTATTGTGACATTGCGACAAATTTTTACAACAAGATTTTTTAGCTGAAGAGCTGCCAAACCTTTTTAAAAATAGAATGTTTTTAGTACTACAACCTGTTTCACTTGGCCAACAACGTGTTCGTATGTGTTGCTCATACTGGTGTCTACATCGTATTTATCAGTTTGTACCTAAAACGAGTTCGAGCAGCTCAAAAGAAAGTGATTAGAGACAGAAATGTACGTTTATTTCATTTTAAATTTAAATAACTTTTAATATTTTTAGACATATATCCAAATCATATCGATTGGACTGATTCATTTCATAGCCAGCATACTGTATGTGGTACAGCAATTTATTCCTGTGACATTTTACAGTACTTTACTGGCTTCTACCTTTTATATGTTGTCTCAGGGTACGTGTACAAACTTTAGAAATTTTTTCAAAAACTATTGATAGCAGTACAAAGCATCGTACCTATATACAATATATTAAGCATCGTACTCAAATATATTATTTTAGGTGTAGCCCCTTTTATATATCTGATATACAACAACAGTATTAGAAATACTGTAAAAGCTATGTTTTGTGGAGCTCATACCGAACACAGTAAAGTTAGCATGGTGCACAAGACACGCAGTAGCAATGCCAATACCTCTGAACTTCATTAAAGCAATATATACTGTATTTTTTTTTGTTGGGTTACTGTAATGGCAATAAACTTTTAGTTCTGACTTTTTGGTTTAATGGCTTTTGCTACTCTACCTTACCCTACTTTACCCTACCCTACCCTACCCTACCCTACCCTACCCTACCCTACCCTACCCTACCCTACCCTACCCTACCCTACCCTACCCTACCCTACCCTATCCTACCCTACCCTACCCTACCCTACCTTAAACTATTCTTTTTTGCTTGTCATGCCTTACTCCGTTCTACCCTACGTTTATTGCTCTACCGTACTATATGGTTGTAGTGTTACATTAAAAGCTTTACATTTTTTTAATCTATTACTACAAAAAACTTACATTATTCAAAAATCTTCAGTAAACACCAAAGAACGCGTATAACTAAATTTTTGAACACTTGGTATTCCTACATATTTTGACATATATACATAGGAAATGAAAATAAAATAGTAAAGCCTAAATCTGATAATAGCTTATTAGTGAAGGTCGAAGATGTACGAGCGCATCTTAAGACTGTGCCAAGAATCGTAGCATGTGACGATGCAATTATAGGATAAACAATGGTAAAACAAGAAGTAAATTTGTAATGTTACGCGAGAAAAATGTAGGTAGGTGTTGAAGAGTACGGTAGGAAGAGCTAATTGTGAAGGTATATAAAAAACATACGTCAAGTAGATTTTGAATACTTTGGCAAAAATCTGATGTAAAAACTCTACCCTATTCTATCCTACTCTGCCCTACCCTTATATGTATAAGTTTGATCAATGTGCTCTTCTCAATTTAATTTTTTAATTTATGCATTTTGCCAAAAATATTAGTTTAAAAGATAGCTAGACATAGTAGTTGACGTACTTAAGTAAGATTAATTAAACTAATAATGCTTACTTTAGCCCAAGCTATCTTTGATACTTCCGTCAGACTTACGTTGCCTTGTTTACAACATTTTTCAATGTTTATTCTTACTGTAAGCGTAGATTTAAACACTATCTTTTTATAAAATTTTCCGTTAATTTAGTATTACTCTTGTGTTTTACTAGCTCTTTTCAAATCTTACATTAATCAAATGGAGCTACAAGTTTTACAAGTGTATTTTTGTTGTCTATAACAAGCGTGTTAAAGTACATACAATGATATAAAAAAACAAAATACTAACAACTTTAAGACGTTTTTTTAACTAAATTTTTCAAGTCTTTTTGTAGTTATATATCTAAAGATAAAATTTGACATTAGTTAACTGAACCGGGCGAGGACTTTTAGTCTGGGGGGGGGGAGGTCGAAAAATTTTTTTTCCTAAATTTCGGGGGGGGGGCACACTTTCAACTTTTTTTTCGAAAATTTTTTTTGGTGAGGATCTTCCCCCCCCTCCCCCCCCTCCTTCGCGCCCTGCCTTGATAATTAACATTACTCTTCACTATATTATTCTCTGAAAATGTAAGTTTTGTATTGCCAAATTTTTATTCTTACTTTGTTGTTCTGTAAACTATATTTTGTACTTTTCTTTTTGCTGATTATGACGAACATGTTGTTTTTAATATTTTGCATTCATTTTAGCATTTTAAAGTTTTCAACTTTTTTTCATGTTTCGGGACCTTGTATATAATTGATAATGTTTTAAAAGAGTTAATATAGGTAAAAAATTAATTTACAGATATTACAAAGAAATGGAAACATACTTTTTTAATCCAGAAAGGTATCAAAGACTATATAACTGTACATCATTTGATGAAATGGCTAGTACAATGCCACAAGATTTGAAAATTCATAAAGGGATTGGAATTGGCACTTTTGTCTTTTCAGTTATTTGCTTGGTACGTTTACTTTTATTCATTGAAATTGTGAATCTAACTATGTATTACTTAGGGTGGGGTAACGTAAGAATAAAAAAAATTGCTTTGGTTTTACCACTGTAAGTTAAGTATATTTTTAGGTGTTGTACATACCATGTCTAGTAGCGATGTGTTTATCATCGCTGAGAAAACGCTCAAGTTATCAACTAATGATATTTCTCGGTTTCAATCATCTTGTTGGCATTGGAGCGTGTGGAGTTGTCACAGGAGCCTACATGTGTATTGGAGCCGAATTTTGCCTTTTTCCTATGTTAACTTACTTCAATGGGCTGTTTGGGCTTTGTAAGTTTTCTATCGTGTCTTACCGTACCCTACCCTACTCTACCCGCCCCTATCCTATTCTACCCTTTCCTACTATCTCTTATCTTAAAAAATACACTAATGTAACATATTACTTTAGGCACATGGTGTGGATCCACAATGACAAGCCTCATATTAGGTGTGAATCGCTGTTGTGAGCTTTATAGTAGCCACACGGCAGAACGGTACTTCGGTGGTAAAATGCGAATATTTTGGTTATTTTTACTCTTTTTATACATGTGTGCGCCGGGTATAGATACGATGCCACCTATATATGATCCTGTCATGATGTCATGGTTCTTTAACCCATTCCATGCTTATCTTGATGATCATGGACAAATTGTAAGTAATTTGTCTAAAATGCAAAAAATTTTACAAAAAATAAATTTTAAAAAATTTTAGTTATATCATATTTGAACTATAATTCAACATATTTTAAATCCCTTTTTTACTTTTCCAATATCATTTTGACGCTTTGTATACTTTTCAAATAACTTTCGTGACATTTTGTCTATCCACCAATCTTTGCTAAACTTTTATGTAGTTTATTAATACTACTCGTGCTACATTTCAGTATTACAACATTTTTCACGTTGCCAACAATATCTTCGTTTGTGTAGCCCATACTGGTGTGTATATTGTGTTTGTCAACTTATATATGAAAAGAGTCAGATTAGCTGACAAAAAGACATTCAGAGACAAAAATGTAAGTAAAATCTGCTTAAACGCGTTGTTCCTTGACAATTTTAACATGTTTTGTAAAAAGAAGTGGCAACTCTTGTTGTACTTTATATTATACATGATAAGGTCAAGTCAATCTTTTAGGCTTTTCTTCACTGTAAAGTAAAAAACTATTGTAAATTAGAAAAACTTAGTAAAAGCAGATTTATCGATTAATTTTAGACGTACATCCAAGTTATTTCAATTGGCTCGATTCATTTCATTGCTAGTGTGTTGTACGTTGTACAACAATTCATGCCAGTGTCGTTCTACAGCACTTTATTGGGGTCTGGCTTTTATCTCATGTCGCAAGGTAATGTTTGGTAAAGGAAAAATTATATTTCGTTAGATTTTTGCGTAGTTACCCTACTTATATGTAGCTTTTCTATATTTCTCTCGACTATTATTATCCTACATTACCATATTCTGCCACCTCCTCAATAACTCTATTCTACTCTACGCTACTGTAATCTAGTATACTTTGCTTTTCCCTAACTTATTCTACCCTAACATACCCTATTTTATCATACATTGGTTTACCTTACCTTACGCTACTCCACCATTATTCACTATCGTAACTTGTTTTAACTAAAGTTACCCTACTCTTTGAGCTCAAGCTTTGGTCATAACATTATATAATAATTAGTAACCCGTGTTTTTTAGGTTTACCTCCTTTCATTTACTTAAAGTATAACAAGAGTATACGGAACACTTTGAAAAGAAGCTGTGTGTCAATCAATTTCCGAGTCAGCACAGTGCAAAAGACTCACAGTAGTATAAATTCGAAAGAGCTTCATTAACGGATATGGTTATGGCTATGGCTATGAAGTCTTCCTTTATATGTACATCATGATAAATCAAACTTTTTATTCATTTTTGGGTTTTAAAAGTAATAAACAAGGTTTTGTTGTACTTGATATAGCTTTATGTTGGTGTAGCTTCGGCACTTTCTAAAGGTTTAGCACCGTTTTCTTGAGAACCAGAGTTGGCGTACGATGAAATTCAAATCTTGTAATTGCCAAAGTAAAATCATTTTCAATAACATTTTTCTATGCACATAACTGACACTGAAATTACAATTGGTACCCTTGCCACTGCATGTGTAGCGGCATAAGCTAACTATGGCACGTTGACTTTAAAGATGGCTTTTATTAAAACACACATAACTGGCAAAGAGAAAGATATAAATGGGCAGGGGGACTGCAACGAAATTAGATTTTACCTGTATCCTATGTTCGTCAACAGTCTGCGCTTTAAGCTTTATAACAATTACAGAAACTTAACAAGGTTTAAGTCATTAACAATAAATAAGCTGTCATTACATTTTTTTAATGATTTCGCCGGGCCGGACAGAAACCTTAGTCCAGCATGAATGTCAGGCAGTAATGAGTGGATGAGTTTAGTCTGAAAAGAGAGGAATGTCACGATAAATTTTTTGCTTTAGTTCACATGTACGTGTAGACAATTTTGGAGCAACTCTTTTTGTATCTTTGATAATTGAAACCGAATTGTGTGAGAAACACTTCGTTCTTGTGTCATAAGTTATGTTGCTCAAAAACTGATGTTATGATTCATTTTTGTTTGCTTTTTTATGAAAAAGCTTCACATAGACGTATTCTCAAGTTACAAGAACTGATTTTTTCTGTACTCATTGAGCAGATTTTGACCAATTTTTTGAGCTTCTTAAAATTTTTAGTATTATCCATAAATAAGATTTAGTTCCTTGCTTTTAGCCTTAGGATTAACCTTAGTCTTAGGTTTGGACTTGGCTTTAGCCTTACTGTTATCTTTAGTTTTCCGACTCAAGTTTTTAATTTTTTAATTTTAAAGACTTTTAAAACCATATTTTTCAAAATTTGACAATGTGAAAGCCGCTCTATCACCGTCAACCCAATTCGTGGGGTAAATTGCTGTTTGTAATGATTTTAACGGCGGGAACAAACATAAAAATTCACGACCACTTCGCTCTTTCCGCCTTTCCCAGTCTTTGTCGAGCGCTTTTTCAAAAACTCTTTTTCTCATGCGGCTTTGCGAGTGATCTCGATTTTAATAAGGTTTTGTTTCCTGATTTAAATAGTGAAGAATATCGGTTGATATTTGAAATTTCGAGGAAAAAGAGCTGTTAGAAGCGATTTGAATTTTTTAAATAGCCCTAGCTATAGTCACCGCTTTAGTTCAAGCTTTAGCCTTAGTGCTCTAGCTCTAGCCTTAGCCTTAATCCCGCTCTAAATACACCTTGTTTCTAAGCCTGACACTGCCTTAGTATGTCCTGATTCTGCACTACTCTTATATTTACTTAATCATTACACTGCCTTACCAACATCAACTTTTTACCTTAAAAACCTGCCTATCCTTCTATTCTATCCCTATTTCAACCCTACCATTCTCCTAACTTTTCTCCAGTTTTATCAATATAAAATTTCATGATGCTTGTGCACTCTTTTTAAACTGCTATGACTCATGAAGAAGTGTTCTTTCGTAAAGGTATGACGTCTCTTCCCAAACGTATATAAATACATTGTTCAATGCGTGTCAATAAGTATATATGCGAGGTTGTGAGTCACAAGTTTTCTAAAAGCTTGTTTGAGGGTTATTTTGTTGAAATGTAAAGCCGTTTACTTTAGTAAAGGGATTGTTTGAGGTTTTTAGAAATATATTTGTTGAAAAATAGGGTTTTGAAGGTATTTGTTGAGCAAAAGTTCATGTAATTGATGGTTTTTTTAAGATTTTAAAAATTTGAGGTCTCTTTATAATAGATATTAAGCTCTTTTTGAGCTTTGGCTAGTGTTGAGCTTAAAGTCTTGGCTTCGAAAGCATTAAAGTGAAAAATTCGTAGCCCTTGCCCTAGCACCCTTTCTTTTTATATGTATGCCATTCTGTAAATACATACTATTACCTGAATATCATGTGTTTGAACACCTTTGCCAAGAAGACGTGAGCAAACAAAGCATGTGCCAATATCGTTTCCCAGGCCAACATCTTTCGAAACGATGGCCTAGGACAACGCGCAGTTTCCTAGATACCAATTAATGGCCTGTATGTCTACAACTTTGACAAATTTTGATTGTCTGTGGATGAAAATTTTAAATTTGATTTACTTTTAGTTTTTGAAAATTTTGTAAATTTTGTTTTTTAAGTTTACAGCATGCCATTTTTTGACGCTTATAACTTGGCTATTTTAAAAGTTATCAAAATCAAATTTTGCACGATTAAGGACAAGTCTATTTGCTTTTGCTTAGCTGAATTTTGGACCTTTGTTTTGAAAACGAAAGTTATTATGAATTTTTTAAAATGACCTTAACAATTTTCAGTAAAAACCAGAAAAGAGTGTTATTGTTAGGAATTTATTTTTAAATAAAACTTTTAGCATAACTGCCTTAAAAATTACAAAAAAAACTTTTCTAATCATAACTTTTTAGTTTTTTCTTATCAGCATCTTAACTATCCTTTGGTTTTTCTATGTCACGAATGATAAAGTTATCTTCCACTTATTCATAACTCTTTCAAATTTGTACAAATTCTTTAAAGTTAGTTATAATCTCAAAATTAACTTTGCTTTCTTAGGTTTTTAACCATGTTGCCGTTAAACTTCAATCAAGTTTAATTTTATGGAAACTGGAACAATTATATGAGTCATTTATGGTATTTCGAGGGTAACATAATAGAAAGGGTTTATTGTTGTGAATAATTTTTTGGTATTGCATTTTAGTTCATTTGAAATGAATTTTAAATTTGTTAGTGCATTGGAGAAGGTTATTCTTTTATAAATTTAATAGAACGTATAAAACGTTTTGATTAATCCGCGTATGACTTGTCGCCGCAGCCTGCGCGATCGTTTTCTTATAAATTTTTTTTCCAAAGAGAATCAAATTTTAATGAAATTTGAAACATCGTGAAATTGGTTTAGCGTATTTTACACGTTTTTTTAAATTTATTTTTACTTAATTTACTCTATTTTTAATTTCAGAATATGTCCGCTCCCCCACCATACAACCAAGGATACCCACCACAGCAAAACTACGGTTATCCCCAACCACAACCTCAATATGGTGGAGGATATCCGCAACCCGGCTATCCCGGAGGACACTATCCTCAACAACAGCCTCAGGTCGTGTATGTGGAGCGCCAACAACAAAGGAATAACAACGACAACTGCTGCTTATACGCATTGTTGGCCTGCTGTTGTGGTACGTTGTTGTTTTGAATTTGATATTTCGGAGTAGTTTTGTTAGATTTCTTTTGGAATTTAGGGTTAAGATGTTTGGATTAGTCTGTTTTACATTTTGTTCAAAGGATTTTGGGTTCAATTTGAGAAAGGGATACTTTTTTGTAATATAATATTGTCCATCATGGACAATATAAATTTTACTATTAATTTATAAATCTTCCTGGTATTACTATGTTAAATATTATCTGTTTTAACTTACATAAACGATATTTTTCATTTCTTGATAAAAGTTATTATATATAATGTAAAAATAGGTCATAAATAATTTAATGTTTCTTTTTTTCAGGTTGCTGCTTGGCTGAATGTTGCGACTAATATCAGACTTCACTATTATCAACGTTGGCAATTTTTCAAATGAATCCGATACTTATCATTGTACAATTTTAACCGTTTCACTTGTATTTTAAGTTTAAAACTGTAATTCGACACCTTTTTACGGGTCAATAAACGCTTTTTCGTTAGTAAATGTAAGAAAGTGTTCATGAAAAATAGTTTAGTAGAAAAATTAACATAATGAAAGAAAATTTTTTATAAAAATTTATTACTTTATTCCAGTATAACAAAGTGAACAACTGAACAATAACATCAACAACGCCAGATTAGGCAATCATAATCAGTTCATGCTTATAATACAATACCTAACTGGTCATTTCAGCCTCATAACACTATTAAAGATGTGTTAAAAAAGACTGATTAACAACATAAAAAGATGTAAAAATGTAGGAAACACCTTTTAACATCAATAAAGAAGAAAAGCAATGTCTAACAAACGCAAAACATAACAAAAAACAGCCTGAAAAACATCAAATTTAAACATTTCTAATCAAATATACATGTTACCTTCACATTTGATGACCAAAGTGAACTTGTCTTGGCTTTTTCTGTCCAGGAAGTCCAAAGTTAGGCTTTGACCGACCTTTGGCACGTTGTTTTTGATTATGATTCCGTTCTTCGTCATCGTCACTGAACTCAAATTCAGAATCGTCGTTATCGTCGTGGTACATGATCTTGGCCAAATCGTGTGGAAAGAAAGTTTTCGTATATCTGAGGTAGTTAGGAGCGTAAAACACTTCTGTCCCAATCGGATACTTTTCGGCTTCTGAATCTGTGTTGAATCTGACGGCGTACATTGGCTCCGTAATTTGACCAAAAATTTCAAAAATCTCTCCGATTGGCTCGGCCGAATTTGTGAACAAGACCGAGTCGTAATCCATGGCTGGGATCTGGGGCAAAGGCTTTATGGTCACTGAAATTATATTATCCTTGAGCTTCTTCAGCTAAACGACAACTTTTTCTCTACTTTTAAATAAAACTTAATCCAAATATCATCTCTTTATAGTATAAATTTAAACAACTTCTATACCTAGGAAACAAAAACTAAACTAAATAACTCACCAACAAAGTCGATAACAGTATGAACAACACCAAATGGCCTCAAATCTTTTTCTGTTGGTTTGTCTTCAAGATTCAAAGCCTCTAACTGCGGTAAAAAGTAATATTCATCATCGAAAGTCCTTTCGAAGGTTGGACGTTGATAGTTCGGATCATCTGGATCATAATTACTTCTGCAGCGTGACACAACCTCAAAGAAGACGTCACTTTCTGAATCTGACTCGGAATTGTTCAATCTGCTACGCGGGACCTAAAAAAATCATTTTAATTGTAAGTTTGTAATAAAAAATACAGATATAACATAAATTATGCTTTTATGTATGTTATTATGCATAAACTAAAAATACATGTAAAGCATACTATCCACAATGAGTAAAAGTAATCGAAACCTCGTTGAAATCTAGATATGTAACCTAAAAACAAAAAAAATGATGCAAAAACCTTACCACAACTTCCTCTTCCAGATCATCAATTGTCAAGAATTCATCATCTACTGTAACTTGTCCTTGCTCAAACTTGGGATGTTGTTGTTCAATGATAATTTCTGGTTCTTCTTTCACTTCTCTTAAAACACTATCAAGAACCATTAAAACCTCGTGATTCACCACAGTTTCTTGTACATCAACGGAAGCTTCAGCCACAGAAGATTCAGGTTGATCTACAACAACATCGTCTAGTGGTTCTTCTTTTACTTGACTTAAACAGACATCAACAAGCATTGAAACTTCTTCATTTGCAACGCTTTTTTCTGGTCCAGCTGATGCAGATCCAATAGCAGACGATTCGTCTACATGAGGTTCAGGTTGAGCTACAGCAACATCATCTTCCAGCTCTTCTTTTACAACAGTATTATTACAAGGTGCTGTAGATAGTTCACAAATCATATTAGAAGATTCAGAAAACGGAACAGACGCTCCAGCAAAAGACGTAGAAGTATTTGGTAAAGCTGATTCATCTTCACAAGAAGCATCTGATTCGTAATCGGCCACCAAAAACGGAACTTCACACTTCACTTCAACCTTAACTTCAGGTCTAACTTCAGGTTGAGTTTCTTCGTCCATATTCGATATTCACACTGTAAAAATCAACAATAACAACAAAACAATGCAAAATGGGCCAAGCTTGGTAAAAGAAAAAATATTTTTTGATTTAACAGAATGCCAAACATTCGTTTTCGTGGTGGGACTTGTTTGATATTGAGATGAACAACTATTTTAGATCAAACGTGTTCCCACAGCTGGTAAATTTCATAAATATATATTAGAAAAGTGATAGTAAGTATACTTTTAATTTTTTAAATTTAAAATTTGATTATTTTTACCTTTTATATGAAAAACTGAATTTTAGATCAAAAAGTCAAAATTTCGAAAGATTTTTAAAAAATGATAATAAAAAGTTTTAGAATTTCGCATAAAATTTGCATGGCTTGCCAAAAAAATCTCGAACCAAGCCAATTTTCCAAAGATTCACTTCATTCGACGTCTCGTCAGTCGACCGATCCGGAGAACCACATCCCTTCCTCGACATAAACTACTGCTCAACATGACATCGGCGTACATTGGAGTCGGCGGTTCAGCTGGTGGAGCTCAGTCCGCCTATTTCGGCGTTGGAGGTGGTCAGACGCCAGCGGCCGGAAACGCGGGCAAGCCCGCCGCGCCTGGAATGGCGAACCAGTCCGTGTACTTGGGAGCGGCTGGTGCGCCTGGTGCTGGTGGAGCTCAGTCTGCCTACTTTGGTGTTGGTGGCGGTGGTGCTCCGGGAGGTGGTGGCGCTAAGAGTGGATACTTTGCTCCAACTGGGGCTGCTCCGGCTCCAGGTTAGCGTTTTTGAAATTTTTCATTTTTTGTCAATTTCAATATTTTTTAAATAAAAAAATTTTTAAACCATGCTTTCAGGTGCCCCTGTCCCAGCCGGAACTTCAACCATGACTGCCGTTGGTGGTGCGCCAGGTGGTACTTCGACCATGACAGCCGTTGGCGGCGCTCCAGGTGGTACCTCTACCATGACAGCTGTTGGCGGAGTTCCAGGTGCTCCACCAGGTACCTCGACTATGACCGCCGTTGGCCAGCCCATGCCAGGAGGTGGCACATCCACCATGACTGCTGTTGGACAACCAATGCCTGGTGGAGGAACATCGACGATGACTGCCGTAGGTCAACCCATGCCAGGTGGTGGTACTAGTACCATGACCGCAGTTGGTGCCGTTGCTCCAGGTGGTACCTCAACCATGACCGCTGTTGGTGGTGCACCACCAGGTACATCAACGATGACGGCCGTGGGTCAGCCTATGCCTGGAGGTGGTACATCGACTATGACTGCCGTGGGCCAGCCTATGCCTGGTGGTGGAACATCTACCATGACTGCTGTCGGAGCTGTGCCAGGAAAATCGACGATGACTGCTGTTGGACAACCAATGCCCGGTGGTGGAACGTCTACTATGACTGCTGTGGGTCAGCCAATGCCTGGAGGTGGTACATCGACTATGACCGCCGTCGGTCAGCCTATGCCAGGTGGAGGAACTTCCACAATGACTGCTGTTGGAGCCATGCCAGGTAAAAATTTTCATTTTTCGAAATTTAAAAAAAAATTTCAAGCTTTGGCTTTTCAAAGGTAGAGACAGTAGAACAACGTATCATAGTGAATGGAATACTATAATATTTTAATGATTACTCTTTGCTTTTTACAGGAAATTCGACCATGACTGCTGTAGGCGGCGCTCCAGGTGGTACCTCCACGATGACCGCCGTTGGTGGTGCTCCACCAGGCACCTCGACCATGACTGCCGTCGGCCAGCCCATGCCAGGAGGTGGAACGTCCACTATGACGGCTGTGGGTCAACCAATGCCTGGAGGTGGTACATCGACTATGACCGCCGTCGGTCAGCCTATGCCAGGTGGAGGAACTTCCACAATGACTGCTGTTGGAGCCATGCCAGGTAAAAATTTTCATTTTTCGAAATTTAAAAAAAAATTTCAAGCTTTGGCTTTTCAAAGGTAGAGACAGTAGAACAACGTATCATAGTGAATGGAATACTATAATATTTTAATGATTACTCTTTGCTTTTTACAGGAAATTCGACCATGACTGCTGTAGGCGGCGCTCCAGGTGGTACCTCCACGATGACCGCCGTTGGTGGTGCTCCACCAGGCACCTCGACCATGACTGCCGTCGGCCAGCCCATGCCAGGAGGTGGAACGTCCACTATGACGGCTGTGGGTCAACCAATGCCTGGAGGTGGTACTTCGACCATGACCGCTGTAGGCCAGCCTATGCCTGGTGGAGGAACATCAACCATGACTGCGGTTGGAGCTGTTCCTGGTATGTTATTTTAGGTTTTTTTTTATTATTTTTTTTAGTCTAAATGGCATTTTTAAAAGTATTTTTGTGTTTTATTGAAACTTTTATTTCAGGAAAATCGACCATGACTGCTGTTGGCGGTGCTCCAGGCGGTACTTCCACGATGACTGCCGTTGGTGGCGCTCCAGCCGGTACTTCAACCATGACTGCTGTTGGTGCTCCAGGTAAGAGGTTTTTACTCATTTATAATTTTAAAATTATTTATTTTACCTTTTTTAATGAAACATGTCACTATTGTTCAGAATCGACCATTTTGATCATTTGTGCCCACATGATCAAGTGGTTAGCAAGCTTTCTTTTTGTACAAAAGCTGTTGGGTTCGAGTCCGCTTGAAGAATCTTTGGATTTTGAAAGTTTTTGATAAAAAAAATATTTTTAGGCTTAAAAATTTTAAATGTTTGTTTTGATTGTTATTTTATTAATATTTTTGATCTTTTCAGCTCGTTCCACCATGACCGCCGCTCCACGTTAACATCTCTCGACGTTGTGTTTGTCTGAATAAACTGACTTTTTTCAATTTTTGTGTTGTTTTTGTTCGATTGTGATTGTTTTATGTTTTTTTTATCGTTGCGTAGTGTAACCTTTACTCAAACTGAGATGTGTCAGATCTGATGTCGTGGATAAAATGACTCGGTTGGAATTACGAATTATCTAGGGCGAAGGTTAAACCAATTCTTAAGTCCTGTAGATCCAAGACCCTCCCTGAAGACATAAAATAGCTGATGTCGAAGCTTTGCCACCATACCGACCAATACGACGAATTGCTGTCAAAGCCAGTCATCTAAATTAGGTATTCCTTGACATAGTTGCACATTGCTCTGTGCTAAAGTTAGTAAATACATAAGTCAAGAAACAAGGCCAAGTTACGTCAAATTTCTATAAAAGCATAATTTAAGCTTCACATATTAACCGTTTGCCGATGACTTAGATCTAAAAGTCTTGGTAGCTTAGCTCCGGAAGCGGAAAACACGTAATTTTTGCAATTTTCATCCCAAATATTGGGATAAAATACAAAAAAAACCTTTGAAGAGTGTAAAAACATGTGAATTATATCACAGCTGGAACAGATATTGACATGTATACGCAGATATACATCATGAAACAATAATTTATTAAAAATATTTCGAAAGATAAAAATTGAAAAAATAATTTTTGAAAAATTTTTTGCCGCGCTTTCTGGTTGCAAAATGTTAAATCTTGTTTAATGTCAGTTTACACAAAAGAATACTACCCTTTTTACACATCAAAATTACCGCCAGATTCTGTAGATCCCAAAAAAGTCCATTTGGGCACAACTTGCACTTCCAGTTTTTCAAAAATTGACCACTTTTCTAAACCACTGAACCAAAAACTGGACGAAACTTATCGATCCACTGCTAGAATCAGCCTTTCCTCCCCAAAATCAACCGATTTCTTCGTCAAGTCATGTCAAAATCAAAGTTCCAACACCAATTTACATAAAAAATCAAAATTTTCGTACAGAAAATCATGGTCATATAAAAAGCGCGTCTCGACCGGTCGGGCGTCAGTGTGAAAGTATTCTTCGGTGTGAGTCTGTGGTTTTTGGTCACAACCCAGAAAACTTTGGACAGCCAACAGGATGACTTCAGCGTACTTCGGCGTGGGCCCCGGAGGCGGCGGCGGAGCACAGTCTGCATATTTCGGCGTGGGCGGTGGACCAGCGGGCGGCGGTGGCGGCGCTAAACCCCCAGCCGGCGGCGGTGGTGGCGGCGGAGGTGGCGGAGCTCAATCGGCCTATTTCGGAGTTGGCGGTGGTACACCTGGTGCTGGAGCACAATCAGCTTACTTTGCGGTTGGCGGCGGCCCAGCTGCAGGAAATGGCGGTGGAGGAGGAGCTCCACCTCCACCACCACCAGCTGCTGGTGGCGGCGGAGGAGGTGAGTTTTTTGAAGATTTTAGTTTTTTCTCGATTTTTTAAAAATATTTTTTAAAGTTATATTGTAAAGCTTTATTATAAGCCCTAAAAGTCTTGTCGTCAATTTACATTATTTTTAAAGTTAAAAAGCGACAAGACTTTTGTGACAGCTTAATATCTAAATTTTAAAAATTTTTTCGATTTATAATGATTTTTTATAATGTTTACTTTCAGGAACGTCTACAATGACAGCTGTTGGTGGAGCTCCAATGGGCGGCGGAGGCGGCGGAACTTCGACCATGACCGCGGTCGGAGCAGCACCAGCTGCTGGAGGCGGTAAGTCAAGCTTTTTGTGCATTTTCAAAATTTTTTGTTCGTAATTAGTCTTTGATACCTATTTTTGAAAATTTGAACTATGAATTTGAAGTTATTTTTAACTTCAAAAAAAATTTAATCCATACTTATTAGATTGTTCAAATATTTCTGTGCCCCCTTAATAAGCAAATTATTTGGATTAGGAGGCACAGAATTATTTGAACAATACAAAATAACAAAGGAGCACAGAATTATTTGAACAATCTAATGAAAATCTATTTAGGCAGATCAACTATGACCGCTGTTGGTGGAGCCCCAATGGGAGGCGGAGGTGGTGGTACATCCACAATGACTGCTGTAGGAGCCCCAATGGGAGGTGGCGGTACCTCTACAATGACCGCTGTTGGTGGAGCCCCAATGGGAGGCGGAGGTGGTACTAGCACTATGACCGCTGTTGGCGCTGCTCCCGGTGGTGGAGGTAGGGGTTTTTGAATTTTTAGAAAAATTTGAAAAATTTTTTAATTTTTAATGAGCTCCCATTGTATATTTTACAATGTTTTACATTTTTTATTCCAGGCAGATCAACCATGACCGCTGTAGGAGCCCCAATGGGTGGTGGCGGTACCTCAACCATGACGGCCGTTGGTGGAGCCCCAATGGGAGGTGGCGGTGGACAATCGACCATGACCGCTGTTGGTGGAGCTCCAATGGGAGGCGGAGGTGGTGGAACCAGCACTATGACCGCTGTTGGCGCTGCTCCAGGTGGTGGAGGTGGTAAGCTGGTTTTGAAAACTTTTTTATTGTTGTGGGGGGGGGGTGACTTTTTTAAATTTTGGTCGATTTTGCTTATTATAAAAATAATTTTTGGCCTTTTTCATAAAAAAATTTTTTGGATTTTGAAAAATTTAGAAATTTCATGCCCTGCAGGCCAATTTTTTCTTTTTTTCAGGAAGATCAACCATGACCGCTGTAGGCGCCCCAATGGGTGGTGGCGGTACCTCGACTATGACTGCCGTTGGCGGAGCCCCAATGGGAGGTGGCGGCGGAGGAACCTCGACCATGACCGCTGTTGGTGCCGTTGCTCCAGGTGGAGGTGGTAAGTGATTTCTGTGGGATTTTAAAACTAGGCTTTGTTAAAACTTTTAAAATTAATTTTTTAAGAAAATTTTAATTTTTAATTGAGTTCTACCTTACATTACTAACTTACAGGTCGATCCACAATGACTGCCGTAGGAGCCCCGATGGGAGGCGGAGGTAGTGGAACCTCTACAATGACAGCTGTTGGCGGAGCCCCAATGGGTGGTGGCGGCGGAGGAACTTCAACCATGACTGCTGTGGCTGGAGCACCTGGAGGTGCCCCAGCTGGTGGAACCTCGACTATGACAGCCCTTGGCGGAGCACCCGGCGGTGGAGCCCCACCCCCACCACCAATGGGTGGTGGCGGCGGCGGTGGAGGAGGAAACGCGACCTCGGCCTACTTTGGCGTCGGCGGCGGCGGAGGCGGCGGAGCCCAATCCGCCTACTTTGAAGTTGGAGGCGGCGGCGGTGGTGGAGCCAAGCCCTCGGGCGGCGGTGGTGGAGCAGCCCCTCAACCCGGACAATCGGCCTACTTTGGAGTTTCTGGCGGCGGAGCTGGCGCCGGCGGAGCTACATCTGCTTATTTTGCTCCGAAATAACAAGTCTCCAATAAATTGAGTTCTCAAGATTATTGTTTTATTGGTTTTGTTTGGAATTGATTATGCTTTCTTGATCCTCTTCCTTTTGATTTGTCAATTGTTTTATGTACTGTTCTTTAAATTGTACACGTTTATATTCTCTTTCACTCTTCTCCTCAATTTCATAGCTTTCTGACCGTTTAACTTGATCTTTTCTCAAATCATGAGCTCTGGTACTTGAATATTAAGTTAAATATTAATTTTTTAGTTTTAATTCCAATGTTTTGAATTGCCATCATGTTAAAAATGTCCAAAAAATTAATTTTTTCTCAAACATTTTGTTAAAAATATGAACTTACGTTATGCCAAGGATTTGCTTTTGTGATGGGACCAACTCATCTACGGTACGTAATAAAATAATTCTATAAAAATGTTTTTACATTGTTTCATATCCATTAGTACAATATAGCATTTATTATTCTTTTTCTTACAATTTTTAACTTCTAAAGATTAATTTTCTGTGATTTTTGTTGAAGTTCATTATCTTGTTGTAGATGTCATGGTTAGGGCCTATGTGGACCGATTTCGGGACTTTCGAATGCTCCAATATGTTCGTGATCTCGACAGACGTGGTTTGATAGCTCAATCCTACCCGAGTAACATCTTAGAATCAGGTAAAGTGTGTTTGTTCAACGTTGAGTTCTAATTTTAGGTATGCAGGAACTGTAAATACTGTTAGAGCACTACCTTCGGCATTATATGCGGGTTTCGATGCAACTGCGGATTCGTTACACATTGGCAATTTGCTCATCTTGTCGAATTTGGTTAGGGCTTCTTTGTTTGGATGTAAATCAATCGCTTTAATTGGCGGATCAACAGCTTTGATTGGTGATCCGAGTGGGAAAAATGAAGGTAAGGTTATTTTTAGCTTTTCATCTTATTGAATATAAGGTAAAACACTAACTAGAAATGGTTTTCAGTCAAAAATATTGTTTTTGTTATTTAAAAAATTTTCGAGATTGTGAACAATACCTATAAAATTACAATTTTAGATAGGAAATCGTTAGCATACGATGCAGTGAAAGAGAATGCGAAGAATTTGGTCAAACAGTTAGCTGAAATTGGTGAAAATGCAAAGGAAATCTATGGAAGTTTTGCTCAACTTACCATAGTTAATAACAACGAATGGTTGGACAATGTAAGTTATTTCAACACTATTGTTATGTTCTTAGGAGTTACTATAGTTTCTTTGTAAACTAATCATGAAGCATGCAGTTCCTTATGCCAGGAATTGGGACCAGAACGACTGTATCAAAGGTTTAAATGTACATACTGTTATAGATGTCGGCGATCGACTTTTTGCGAGTTGGGCGTAGCTTCAGAGTCGGGGAGATGATGCGGTTGGGTCATATAAAGAACCGCCTTGATGGTAATGGACTTTCTTTTACAGAATTTTCGTACCAAATTCTACAGAGTTACGATTGGTTAGTGTTGTCGAGGAAATTTGATTGTTTGTTTCAAGTAAGTGAAAAAGTCTTTATTTATCAGTCGCTAAGTCTAATTTACAAGTTGAAGATACGTCTTAACTTTAATTTTAAAGTAGGTGAGATGTGCTTTCGACTTTTTTAACCGTAAACTTCATTTTTTCAGTTAGGAGGATCAGATCAGTTAGGCCATCTAGATACAGGAGCTCATTTCATTAAAAAAATAACTGGCAAAGCCGCAGCTGGTGTGTGTCTACCGTTGTTGACAGACAAGAACAACAACAAAATAGGAAAGTCATCGGCGGCAGCTGGAGACGCTGTGTGGTTAAACTCAACAAAAACCTCACCTTTCCACCTATATCAATATTTCTATCAATTGCACGATGATATTGCCGAGAAATATTTTACCTACTTCTCGTTAAGGCCGTTTGACGAAGTTCAACAGGTTTTACAACATCACCAGACCAGCAAAACCCAAAGAATATTGCAGAAGGCATTGGCGGAAGAGGTGTTGATGTTGGTTCATGGGATTGATGATCTACAGAGGGCTATTCAGTGTTCTAAAGTTATTTACGATGGTGAGGATTTGTCTTTATGATAAAGAACTGGCTAATAATGAAAAAATGTTTTTTGAGAAGAGGCCGTCTTGGTCTGAGATTAAGTAATATTCAAGTTAAATCAAGGCGACGTCATTATAAATCACATAAAAACCATTTGCAGGATCTCTGTCCGATTTCGAAGCCCTGGACAATGATACAATTCAGAACTTGTTCGATTCGACCAGGAAAATCGTTTCCAAAACTGAAATAAAAACTGTTGGAGAGCTAGCCAATGCCACAAAAACAAGTTCTCAGTACAACATGAATCTCATCAGACAGGGAGCTTTCAAACTGAACGGAGTCAAATACATGGACCCGGACGAGGAGGTGGATGTTAGGAAATTGTTACTCAAAAACCGTTATACTCTTGTCAATTGGGGGAAACGGAATTATATGATTGTTGATTGGACTGATTAGGAATAAAGTTTAGAGGTTTACGTTTTAATGTTTTTAAAATACCATTTTCAAGTAAAGATTCGAATTCATAGCTCGACAGCCCTTTTACAGACCAAATGTTAAAATTTTAGGTAATATTTAACTGAAGATACACTTAAAACTGTTTGTGATAAGGTTACCCCTCTAGTTCTATTTCAAAATCACTTTAATTTAAAAGTTGTTTATTCGATTTGATAGTCCTGTTATCAAGAAATATAAAAAGTGAAAGTTTGTGGAAAAAGCAGTGAAAACACCGACAAATCTAATAAAAATATCCATTATTCGACTAAATAATATGTCATGACTACAAAATACAATAAAAATCAATTTCGACAATTCCTCTATATCCTTTTAAACAATACACAAGTAGTTTAAGCTACAGCCATTACCAGTTGATAGAAATTTGTCTGAACTAAATTATGCGGCCAAAAAAGTGAAGATGACAAAATGATGTTCGTCGAATGTACAGCTCAAAAGATGGAGGTGGAGTTGAAGCGGTTTTGCCAGAAGACAACTATTAGTGTCACTAAATACATCCCAGCGGCAATCCAGCATTGCATCGCTTTTTCGGAGTATTTGTCTTCAACGTCTCTGAAACGAGGTATGGAAAATATAAAATTAATCATAACAAAGACGTTAAAAGATGTATGTGTAAAATAACATTCACAGAATCAAAAACATTATAAAGTTGCAAAACTTCAATAGCTAAAAAATAAAAAAAGAGTTAATTTTACAATTATTGATCAAGTGCAACATAATTAATCAAAAAAAGTTATGTAAGTTGAGATATGTAAGATACACTTTAAAACTTTCAACACATAACAAGAGTTACTAAAATAATAGTGTTGCAAAACGGCCAAAGAGTTTTCAATAAATAAATGATTATCTATTAGAAATATAACGAGTATAATATACTTTTGGTCATATAAAGTTTACTGACTTGACTATTATTTGAGGTGAGAATCTTTTTATAAAGCTTTAATAAACCATAGAGTAGTTTATACGAACAATATTCTTTTAAAGGTTACCTAAAAATGATAAAACAAAGCAAATAAACTTACTTTACACTGAGCTTCTCCACAGTCAAATCAGGGAACAATGTGACGGCGTTCATGTAAAAGAAAAGTCCAAGCAGGCCCAGAAATATAACTCCCCATACGGACATAATCATGCTAAAATAATATTATTAATTTTATCTCAAAAAGCAATGTAACAATACAGTTTTAGATCAAATTTTTATCTAAAATCCAAATCTCTGAAAAAAATCCATAATCCTTACCAGAAAGCCGATAGTTTTGGACCACAAATTGGACACACCTTCCCCATGATTCGTGTTTGATAAGATGTGTTGCACCTGAAGAAGAAAACGTTGAGGTAAATGTGTGGGATTATCAACTATCGCCGCAAAAACTCGACGAAATAGAAGAGCAATGAACGCAGAGATCGTTCGAGGACGAAATGTCAAAAACCGATATTTGATCGAGACAAACAGAGCGCGTTTTTCCGAAAAAAAAGAAAATTAATGCGGCCGTTAGTTGAAATTAAAGTAACTTGTGTAGTGAAATTAAAATAGGTAATATGACTTTAAAAAAATATTAAGCTCTTCTTTAGACAGTAAAACCAAAAAACCAAATGAGTGCTTTCTTCCAAAAACCAAAATGAGTCTAAAACCAAAAAACCAAAATGAGTGCTTTCTTCGTATAACTCGTCACTTTACAAATTTTACTATTGAAAAACTGATGCTGTAAACAAAAGTTGGAAAATTCCTTCGACAAAAATGTTCAATTTGTCATTGCTAAACTTTTTACACATACAAAACTAAATTTTTCGTATTTTACAAATGTAAATTTAAAAAAGTTAAACTTCCACACACCAACTCGGCCGCACAGTGCGCCAAAACATAAAAAACGCACCTGAGTCGGTCGTGCATTTTATCAATTTTTTGGCGTATTTTTTACGGAAGCTAGCCGAATATCGACGTAAAAGACATTTTTTACCTGTAAAGTAAAAATTTTGGATATTTTACGTAACTAAAAATTTCGAAGCAATTTACCCCACTTGAAAATAATATCAGTCTCGGTTTATTTGCTATTGATTTTCTGGTTGGTCTTTTGTCGCCGCAGAGATCAAAACTGTTCTCTCTGGTTTTGAATGTTGCTCACCTATAATTTTGAGAACATTGACTTTGCGGTTAACAAATGTTTTTTGCTTTTGGATATTTTAGGATTTTATTTATGTATTGTTGGTATCCAATGTAATATCCAATATTTTATTTATTAAATTTAATTCGCTTTGAAGTGATATAAATTTTATTTTCGTTAAAGTATATTTTTTAACTAACTTTTACTTTTTTGCACATGGAACTTTGAAAAGAACTAAATTTATTGCACGGTGCAGTGAAAAATTGACTTTAACGTGGGTTTTAGTGGTTTTAGCTAGGTTCTGACAAATCTATCGTGATTTAAAACGCGGTGTTTTATCTTTGAGTTATTCTAATACGTTTTGTTTTGCAGGATGTCCGTCTGGATCCCAATAGTTGCAGTAACAGCGTTTTGGCTGTTGGTTGGAGCTGGTGGACCATTCTTGGTGCCTAGTGGACCTAACAAAGGTAATTTTTATTTATTTTTTTAATTTTAGGAGAACCGAATATACTTAATTAAACTTTTAATAAAAAGCCACTAGATTATGGAGTTAATAAAGAAAAACTAATGGAATGTATAATATTCGAACCTGAATTGATAGCTACTTGGTTCACTTTATTCGATTTTTTAAAATTTAAATTAAAATTTTTCTTTTCTAAAGTACTATTTCAACTTTTTGACATTTTTAGGTATCATTCAAACTATGATCGTACTGACAGCCGTCTGCTGCCATCTATTTTGGATCATCGTGTACATGCATCAGTTGAACCCACTGATCGGCCCTCAAATCCCAGTCAAAACGATCTGGTGGATCTCTCAACAATGGGGAGACGCTGCATCACTCATTAATTAGATTTCTTTATCAAAGAAGACATAAACGATGGATTCCTGCTACTTCACTGTGATTTACATGGCTTTTGGTATATAATATTGAGTTTACTCATCAAAGACACCAAGTTAATTAAACTTGGTAACTCTTAATATGTAATTTACAAAACTCAGTACCTTGTACCAAGTTTGCTGTGTAACTTACCCTTTTTTTAACTTTACAATCTTCACTATTTGTATTACTGCTGCTCACAGTAGACTAACTTTTCTTGTCATTTTTTTAAAATTTTCGAGATTTTTATGATAGTAAATGTAGTCAGATTGTTTTTTGTATAGTAATTGATAGCTTGTTGTTATTACGAGATATTAAACATGACAAAACTTAATTTTTGGAATTTGATCGGTTTCTTGTATGTTATCCATCATCGAAAAACCTGATTTTACAAACCTAATTAGACTTACATACGTAGAAAATATAACGTTCTACATTATAAAAATCAAAATTCCCTCAAAAAACAAGCTACAATTCAAAAATATATTATTTATAGCGATCATCTGTATAGCACAAGTATAGTTAAACATAAGGTTAGCCGAGAATCATCTGCATTACGGATTTACACCCATTTAAAGCCGCGTGTGATGCTACAAAAACGAACGAGATCAACACCATGTCCGCCACCAAGTCCCAACCAATGTCCAGCAAAATGCCAGCGTTCACGACAATGTTATCATCGAGGCCGGCGGCCAACAGCGTGTTCACGACGTAGCCGTGGCGAGGGTAACGGGTCTTGCGCTAAAATTTTATGAAGTTAGAGATCTTATTGTAGTAAAGATAAGACCATGCTATGGTAAAGAAATAACACCACATTCGCAGTTTCTAGTCAATTGGAAGCAAAGCTATGATAACATCTAGTCAAGGGCCTAAAAACTAATAAAACATAATTATAAGAAGGTGAAACTTACCGATTTGAACATAAAAATCTCGTAGGATAACTGCACTAGCACTATTGGGTAAACAATGTTGTCAACAACTCCGTACTGTGAGCAAACTGTCATCAAAAGCCCTGAAATATTACAATTTATCAAGTGTAATATACTTTTCGTAAAAGTTTGCCCAAAAATCAAATAAATCTCGAGTTTTTTTTTAACAAAAATTATAATTTAATACTAATTTCACGTCAAAAATAATGAAGTAAGTATTCCCCCGCTAAAATTAAACAATCAATAAACTAAAACCCGAACTTACCCATAAAGATGACCAAGTAAACCCGGTTACGATCAACAAAGTCCCAGTAAGTCGGCAAGACAAATTCAATGTTAGTAGTGTTCATTGTCTCATCCATTAAACTATCGTCAAATCGTGAAGAATCTGGAGACAAACCAGTGTGCACCGTTGTACCAGAAATGGCAGTCTTTGTAGATGACATCGAGAGAGCGGTTTTAGTTGAACTGGCCGAAACAGCCGTCTTGACTGATGAAGCTGATATGATTGAACAATCCGAGTCGTTTAACTGTGTTGGTGAACTACTTGGAGCTGCAGCTGGCGCTGGAGCACCATCAATTCCTGGTGCTGCTCGTTGAGCTCCTAAAATTATATTTTTGAAACTTTAAATTACAAACCTTCTTATCATTTACAAAAATTCAATTATGAATCAAGATAGAAACAAAAGCCAATATAGATAAAGGAAAAAGCTAAAAAAATTAAGTAAAAAAGTCATGAAAAATATACTCAAGCATCTACTACAATATGGGCTAGAACATCAAAGCAGTAATAAGAAAAACAATTTAATAAATTTTGTAAGGTACAATATAAAACCTTCAAACCTTTCAAGCTAACAAAACTTAACTTTCAATTTACAAAAACTCTCAAACCAGTTATCAATCTTTTATCTCTCATAAGCAATATAAAAAATCGCAAAACACACTAAATACTTCAGCTAAAATCAAAAAAGTGTTGCTAAATGTAATAAATACTTATGTTTCACGTTTGAAACAGATAAACTTACCAAAATCTAGTCAGGTACCATATTTTAGACCAAAACAAGTCTACCTACATCATTACCCAATACTACTATAAAAACCTTCTCCAAAACTGTTTGAAAACCCTACAAACTCTGACAAAAACTATCCTAAAACTGTAATACGTTTATCTTTTAACTACTAAGCCTATTAAGAACTTACAAACATCAAATGATGTTGTTATAGATCAAATAAGTGTTCATCTACTTTATTACAAAGTATAGCATCAAATTCTCCAATCCACAAACCTAAAAACCAAACAATACAACAAAAAATACTTACCATCCTGTCCTGTGAGTAGTTTTTCAAGTCTGGATTCAGCGTTGGCCAGAATCTTTTGTTTTCTTCGTTCGCGGCGTTCGAAGGCGCTCAACGACGCACAATCCTGGATGGTTGTAGCCATTTTGAGCAGCAATTCGATGTAAACCCAAAATCCACACAATTTTTTTCAAAATTTATCTTTGTCGCCGAATTGATGACTTCTTGAGGCAACATGAAGAACAAATCCTCAAAAAATATTATTTTATTTACGAAATCGGCGAAGCGCCACGGGTTTATTGATTGATGCGGAGTGTCACTTATTTATTAGACTTTTGGGTAATTGACGATTGAATACAACAAGAGAGATAAATTTAAACCTTAAAATTATTTTTGAAAATTTTTAAGGAATAAGTGACTACTTTAATAAACAAAAGAACTTCCCCATTAAAAATGGCAATCACTTTTTTATAAAACAAAAATTGCAAAAACTTTCTTTACAAAACACGGAATAACGAAAAATTTACAGAGAAAGCAAGAAATGTTGTTCTTCGTATAACTTGTCGCCCGCAGGCTGCAAAATGGAATAATTTGCTCAAAAGGAATAGCAAAAACAAGTTTTCAACCATGAATTATGATAACATCTAACTTTTTTTCCAGATTTTTTTTGTTGTTTCAACGTTTAAGTTATGTGCATATTACAATAGCTATCTAGTGTAACATAGCAACTCTTCTAACAAACATAATAGAATTTGAAATAAAACAAAAATTTCAAAAAAATTTCTTCTGTGAATTGAAATTTGTTAATTTCATCTGCGATTCATACTATTTTGATCAACGATCAGTCAGTTGCACCCGATTTGTCTTATTGTGAAAAGGTTGTTTGCTGTATAATGTATAACATACCAGTCGTATCGTGTAAACAAAGTTTTGTGTTTACAACACACTGTTATTAGAAAAGGTTGGTGATGTTTTTGGTCTTTGAAAATGTGACCGCTGCTTTGGAATGATTTATTGTGCACTCATTTAATTTAAACTTTAAATTGTAAAGTTAGGCTTGTTATTGTGCAGCTGTTTGTGTCTTGTTGTAAAATAATATGTGGCTGGTGTCTGCGGTCGTTTTTGCGTTGGCTGGTTATGTTAGTGCTAAGAGCTTGGCAACGCTGAATTGCTCGGATAATGTGCATAATTTGATTTTGGCCAATTCAAACTTTTCACGTAAGTAAAGCTTGAGTTGAGTAAAGTAGTAAAAATTAGCCAAGTTTCACCAAGATAGAATAAATTTAGATTTAGGGTTATTTTTAGAGTAATACAGGGTATAAAGTAAGATAATGCAAAGTTGAATTTTAAGTCTACTTAAGACACGAGGCTCTGGGCTAAGACTCTGGGCCAGGGCTCTGGACTAGGGTTCTGGGCTAGGGCTCTGGGCTAGGGCTCTGGGCTAGGATTATGGGCTAGGGCTCTGGGTTAGGGTTCTGGGCTAGGGCTCTGGGCTAGGGTTCTGGGCTAGGGCTCTGGGCTTTGGTTTTGAGCTAAAACTTAAATCAAAAATTTTTTCTTTCAAAAAAGGTTGGCGAACTATACTTTCAGAAGGCTATTCATCCTACATAACGTTCGTCAAAGGCACAGTGTATAACCATGACTATTCGCCAGCTTGTGCTTATGGCAAGCCAAATGTGCCATTACCTGGATTCGTCAAGTTCTTGGATGGAGAACTACATGTAACAAAATATTATGACGTTTTAAAAGATGGCATGCTAAAAGTTACAGTATACAGCAGCTTTTTCGACAAACCGATCTGTTTGAATGGGATCAGTCAATATATGGCGTTACCTGATTCTATGTGGTATGTGATCTTATCTATATCAAGATTTTATTTCTTGTGGGTAAAGTAAAATACGTTCGTAGCAGATTTTGTATTGTTTTTTTCAGTAGTAACCTTAACATAAATTTAAAAAAAAAACCATTTTAGTCAATTCAAAATCAGTGAGTTCATGAATCATGACATTGTTCGTATCTTCGAAGAGCCGGGTATACATACGTTGAGTGAGATCAAAGACAGAATTGGCTTAAATACAACAATCGAACTGCCCGAAGCGCCAAGTTTCTTGGGAATTTCACTACTTGACCTTTTAGCGGTGAGTGACGAAATGCCACGTGATTTATTGGAAAAATGGTCTTTTTTTCATAATATATATGACGAAAAATTTTTAATTATCGAAAAAGCTTTATAAAGGTTTACTTAATAAGAATTTTACATAAAAATGTCTTTTCTAGCACCAACTCAATTTAATGACGAAATGTCACAAAATTTATTGAAAAAATTATTTTGAGTCAGGACGTTAAAACTTCAAAAATTTAAAATTTTAACACTTTTTTACACTACAGATTTACATTTTTATTCTTTCTTGCAAAAATCAATATTATGACGAAATGTCACTAAGTTTCTCTTTCTGCCAAATAAGCAAGTTTGCTCAGAAAGCCATAACAAATAGATACTAAAATTAAAAAAAATAATAAAAATGCCATTTTAGGGTGAATTTGCGTTTGGATTTCAAATAGAAACCGAAGGAAAAACAATCATGGATGTTAATATACCCACGAATCATAAATGGCTACAGATCGGTGTAGCTGAAAACTCAGTCAAAGAAGATGCGGCTGATGATGAGAAAAGCAGTGAAGAAGATGACTAAGTTATACCAAATCTATTTTAAAGTTTAAAATATTTTAATATGGTTGTTTATATTGTACATATACCTACTGTAATATAATAAGTTATCGTTCTCCATTCCAAAATTAATAAATACTAAAAACATAAAAGTATTGGCATTTTTAAAGCTTTTTTAAACTGATTTTCAATTTTAAAAAATATGATATATAAAAAAGTTATGATCAAGGTTTACTGTAGAATACGGTAGAACATATAAGTTAGTATTGCCATCAGGGCCGGGCGGGGACTTTTGGTCTGGGGGCAGGGGTCCAAAAAATCGGCACAGGAGCTACCTGTGCCGATTTTTTGCAAAATTTTTTCTGAAAATCCACAGGCGGGACCACGTTCAACTTTTTTTCAAAATTTTTTTTTCTGGGGAAGGGGTACCCCCCCCATCCCCCCCACCCCCGCGCCCGGCCCTAATTGCCATTCTAATATAATATAAACAATAAAATGCTAACAAAATTAAGATCCAGCGTAGTCCATCAAAGCTTTTTGTTTGTTAGTCAGAACGAATTTATGTAGTCTCGAAGCCCAGTAGCATTCGTTGTCCATGTACCCACCTTCACCATCAGGTAGAACATCATTCGTAGTCAATGGGTGATGACATCTGAAAAAAAATGTTATTAGACTGTAGTAATCACTTTTTATAAGCATTTTTAGGTGATAAAATACTATTTTAGTGATTATTTTAGCTTTAACAAAATGTCACAAAGTTATTGTAAATATGGCGAAGTGTCACAAAACTATCGGTTTTTGCAAAGTTTGTAAATTAAAGTAAAAACGTTAAAAAATAAATGAAAAATTTTTTGAAGTGTAAAATACGCCTGCATAACAACTCACAATCTTACAAATTTAAAAAAAAATTAAATAAATATTCAAAACTCACCTAGAACAAACAAAACAATCTTGATGATAAAGCTCCTTCCGACTAATCTTCACACACATGTCCACAATTCCTTTGCCACAACTTGAACATTTTGGCGCGTAATGACCGCCAAAGCACGGTGAACAACAAATCTTGTCTTGGTCTAGAACTTGAAACGTCTGGGTCGGTTCGATTGGCTGACGACAAGCGCAACAAGCAAAATGTTTAGCATGGTAAGTCTGGAAAGTAAAAAAAAATATTTTTTTTTATATTGTGCTAAAAAATTGGCATAAAATTAAAGTTGGAAAAAAATACGATAATATTTGTGATATTTCGTCTCATTTTTCAATAAAATTCGTGACGTTTTGTCTCGTTTTTCAAAAAGTAAAAAATCAGCATTAAAAGCGCTAAAAAGCAAAAATTTAATTTAAAAATTTTGTTTTGAATCTAATATTATTCCAATAAAACATGTGACATTTCGTCCTCTTTTCTAATAAATTTTCTGACATTTCGTCTAATTTAAAAAAAAATCACTATATAGCTTAAAGGCTCAATTTAAAACTAATATTTAAAACATTGAAAACAACTTACACACCCATCAACAGAATAAGCCGGCCCATCACCGAGAGCTTGATCACATTGAAAACATCTCTTGATCACAACATCGTGCTGTTCCTCACGTTGAGATCTGTAACAATACTTTTTTCGATAGCTAAATTGTCTTTGACTGCTCATTATGAACAATAAAATTAAAAATAAAAAAAATCGAAAATTTTAAATTTCAAAAAAATTTGAAAAAATTTAAATTTTACAAAATTTGAGAACAAAGGTTCAAACTTACCATTTAACAACAATGCACCCAAAGCAATATTAATTGGGCAGCTGTGTCATACGATATTGTTGATATGTCATGCCATTAGAGCGTGATCAACCACAGAAAAGGCAGATGGATAAGTAAATTTTTACTCATCCGTCATTCAATTTTGACACTTTTTGCTTCAGATTTTATTTAATTCGTCTTCTTCGTTTTGTTTTTACTGTAGTGTCACGCTGGTTGAAACGTGCTATACGATTCCTTTTGAATACGTTATATACGTTTTTACACAGGGTATGGCTAAGTGAGTAAGTAAAGTAGGATGAGGTATAGTAAGGCAAAGTAGGATAGTACAGAAGAAGATAGGTAAATTTAAAGTAGGGTAAGAAAGATGAGAGTAAGGCAGAGCAGGGTACGGTAGGTTAGTGTAGATTAGGATAGAGTAAGGAAAAGTAGGGTAGATAAGGGTAAGATAGAGTAGTGTAGAAACTTTTAAAATATTTTACGAACTCATGAATCTTGTCACTTCTAACACGACATAAAATTACAATGACAAAGGACAAGGAAGTGTCTGTCGTTTTTGATACAGTTTTATTAGTTCTAGTATCTTTTTACTATCTGTATCAATTTTTTTTATTGTATAATACATAGTCTTTAATCGCTAAAATTTTAAAACTTGTTTTTTTAGTATAACAATTTACAAATTCTGAAAAGATTGTTTTTATTTTTTCTTAATTTTTGGTCAATAATTTAGATTTTTTTAACTTTATTTTTCACTGTAATAAACTGCGTTTTTTTAATAAAAAAGTTAAAGATAGATAGAACAGTTAGATATAAATATGAAGAAGACATCATTTTTTGGCCAAGCTTTAAACATTGAAACATTAACAAGATTAAAATCATGTTTTTTGATCAAAAATTTAATTTTGATTTTTTTAAAAATTATATGATTATTAACTTAAGGATTATGATATTCTTAAGTTTTGGTGATTAAGGATGTCATTTTTTAATTAAAGTTATATGTTTTAATATGTACGCACTAGCGTAGACGTAAGGTAAGGTCTCGTACGCAGCGACACTAGAGCAATACTAGCATAGGGTAGGGTAGGTAGGGTAGGGTAGGGTAGGGTAGGGTAGGGTAGAGTAGGGTAGGGTAGGGTAGGGTAGGGTAGGGTAGGGTAGGGTAGGGTAGGGTAGGGTAGGGTAGGGTAGGGTAGGGTAGGGTAGGGTAGGGTAGGGTAGGGTACAGTGTAGTAGGGCAGGGTAGGGTAAATAGGGAATAAATCCGTTTCAAAAACTTTTTATACCCTACATTTTAAAATTCGACATATACGCTAAAATACCATCGAACGTAAAGTTTCGTCTGTCGCTCGGTTATTTTAGGAAACGTCGAGTACTTTACAACCTCTAATACAGGATTTTTGGGTAAAAAACATAATACTCAATTAGCACGTATTCAAGTACTCTCTTTTACAACAGTGTGCACTCTTACATTCGAAAATGGCACGAATCCGGCTATCACGAACGAATAAAAAAGCAAATCGTTGTAGGTGGTCTTCAACAGTTTTTTGCTACGGTGCCAGCTTGTACTCGATCTAATTTGCATATCTGATTGCAGAGAAATCAAAAATTTCGCTTTTGTTATTTTTAGTTGAAAAATTTTTGGTTATCTTTATATTTGTCACCAATACAAATATCGCGTTTTTATTTTAATTAATGATAACTATGTTTTATTAGAATAAGGAGGAGTAGCAGAAAAAAAGACAGGGCAAGGCAAAAGCAGGGCAAAAGCAGGGCAAAAGCAGGGCAAAAGCAGGGCAAAGGCAGGGCAAAGGCAGGGCAAAGGCAGGGCAACGGCAGGGCAAAGGCAGGGCAAAGGCAGGGCAAAGGCAGGGCAAAGGCAGGACAACGGCAGGGCAAAGGCAGGGCAAAGGCAGGGCAGGGAAAACGAGCAAAGCTCTATTATAACAAGCGCGTGAAATTTATGGTAGTTATGTTGGTAATTTTATGTAAAATACGCTCGTTTTTATATGTTGTTGATCTTCTTATTATTGGCTTCATTATGTTCTTCTCTATTACGTTGTTTTCTTTATTGTGTAGTTCATCTTCTTTATGTAAAGCGCATCCGGTTGGCCACTAGGCTGAAAATTGTCAATGCCCTGCCTTGTTTCCTAGATTGGGGGTACCACACCAGATTTTTAAAAAAATTTTTTGGTTGATAACTTTTTAAACCTCTTAGTTTTGTTTTCTAAAGTCTAGTTCAAGTGCTCTATTACTTTTAAAGTTTTTTATCCAATTTTACTTTTTCTATTTTACGTTCATTTTTAAATTTTTTTTTGAATTGTAGGTTCACGAGCTTTTTTTGTCAAAGATAAGAAAGTAGTGAATGTGATTGTTATTATGTTATTGCTTTTTTTATGCTTATTCAGCGGTTTTTTATTGATTAGATGTGTTTCAAAGATAGTTTTAGTGTGATAAGAAAAGTTGTTATACATAATATTTCGGTCCTATGAGTATAGAGCATCTGAATTTGATATAGCAAGGTTTGGGATGTAAAATACGACCTAAACTAGTTCAATAAGGTTATTTTGATAAGACTAGTATTTGTCTGCTAAAATGACAAAATTTGACAAACGTATTTTAATTCAAAAACTTTTTTAATATGCAAAACAAGATACGATTAGACTGAACTTTTGTATTCTATCAGATTATCTAACAAACACTAGGTTTGCCTTTTTTTCTTTTTTTCTCTAGTTGTACCCCTAACTTTGTATCTAAAGGTTTGGAATTGTCAAAGAAAACAATGTGGGTTTTGTTAACAAAAATTCGAAAAATGAAAAATATTTGAGCAGCTTAACCATGACCTAAAATAAACTTAATTTGGACTGTTAGTTCAGGCTAGTATGGACGTAAGCACGTTTTTATATAATGGTTAGGATTATAGGGTTTGAAGGTGTTTTGTGGGTACAGCTGGGGGTACTGTAGTTTGTTTTTATGTAGGTTATGGTGAGGCTAGAACTTCCGCTAGCACTAAGTTTTAGAATAAATCAAAGGCTAAGGAGAAAGTAAAGCTGGATCAGGATCAAGATCAAGTTCAGGCTCAGGCTCAAGCGCAGGCTGAGCCACAGGCTCAGGCGCAGCCTCAGGCTGAGTCTCAGGCTCCGGCTCAGACTCAGGCTCAGGCTAAGAAAGTCAGACTAAAAAAACTTGTATATGAACATTTATGTTTTAATTGACATCAATACATGTCAGTGATCAAGTTACACGCAGTTACACTGTAATTAGAATCTATTTTTGGCAACACGTGCGCAAACATTATTTTTATTTGAAATACGATCTCAATTCGAAATGTGACCAATATATCAGGCGATTTGAAAAAATCGTTCGTTTGTGTGTCTAATGTTGCTTTTATATATATTTTTACTATTTTTAATCTTTTTTGTTTTTAAAATAAAAAAATAAATATTTTAGCATTGATTTCAAAAATTAAAAATTTAAATTTTTAAAAATTTTTAAGTGTTTTCATTACTAAACTACATTTTTGCACAAACTACGTAAAATCCTGGTTGAAATGCACTTTAAAATCCTATTCAAAACCATTTCGAAAAATCGTTAGAGTTCGAAATCGCTCGAATAAAGAATTGCTCTCGAATTTGTCGGATATCGTAAAGAATCGCACAAAAGGTCACTTGAGAGGAAGGAAACCTTGTCGACCGGTCCGAACTTTAAAGTCATTAAAAGAACATTTGCAAGCAAAAGGGACTGTACAAGATCGCACAAACTCCACGGTGAGCACACAATAATAGTCACAAAACGTGTGTGTATTATGGTCATAGTTAATTTGTGTACGTTATACGTATATTTATGTGTGTATGCATTGCTAGGGCTAGATTTCTGGGCTAGAGCTCGAGCCAGGGCTAGGGCTCTGGACTAGGGCTCTGGGCTAGGGCTCTGGGCTAGGGCGCTGGGCTAGGGCTCTGAGCTGGGGATCTGGGCTAGGGCCCTGGACTAGAGCTCTGGACTAGGGCTCAGGGCTAAGACTCTGGGCTAGGGCTCTGGACTAGGGCTCTGGGCTAAGGCGCTGGGCTAGGGCTCTGAGCTGGGGATCTGGGCTAGGGCTCTAAGCTAGAGCTCTGGACTAGGGCTCTGGGCCAGGTTTTTGGACTAGGGCTCTGGACTAGGGCTCTGGGCTAGGTATCTGGGCTAGGGCTCTAGGCTAGGGCTCTGTTCTAGGGCTTTGGGCTAGGTCTGTGGGCTAAAGCGCTGGGCTAAAGTTCTGAGCTAGGGCTCTGGGCTAAAGCTCTGGCTTAGAACTTAGGATAAGGCTTTGGATAAAAGCTTTTTGTATATTTATCTACCTTAAACCACAGTTGTGCCATATGCCTACAGTACTTTAAACAAAATTTCAGTCAGGCCGCAACATATGTTTAAACAACAAACGCAACATCAATTAAATTGTGTTGTTTGAACATACGATGAGCCTACATGTCAAAACTGTCGTCATATGAATTTGTAGTGCAGCTTTGTTTGCGCAGAACGGTTTGCAGACTTGTCATTGTACTTATGACATGCAGTCGTTGCTAAGTGGCCATGTGATTCAAAAAGTTTGTTCAAATCACTTGGCAAAAGATTGTAATTTAACACACGTGATCAAAGTTTTAAAACAATAATGGAATTTGACAAGATTTTATATCAAACAAGGCTAAGACTGAATCGAAGACTGACAATTTTGTAAGGCTAAAACAAGGCTGGACAGAGTATGTTGTAAAAACTTCTTGTTTATTAGCCATGCTGTAATTTTATAGCCATATTAAACTACTTTTTAAGCCAATAACTCCTCTGGCTATCGCAAAACTTTATTTTTAAAAATTTTGTTTATTTGCCTTAAGCGTTTCATAGCAGCTTTTATCGCTTGTTTTCTCTCGATCGGTCGGTTTTTTTTTCATTCAATAATACGAGTTTGTTATTGCATGTCAACATTAATTTATTCAAAACCTCAGGCGACGTCAATGCTGTGACACCCAACACAGTTCTGAGCTTTGATCTTTTGACAGTCCACGATCAAGGTTGATGCCTTTTGTTATATTAAAGTTGGCGGGAAAAGGCGATTATTGGTAGAGTAGGTAACGTGTAGTTACGAAATACATTAAAAACTTTAATCAAAGTGCCATTTTAAACAATTAAAATTCATAAGGAGCACAAAATTTATCAAAAAACATCAACAATTTGATTCGGTTGGCATTCCGTTCTAATTTCTGCGAACTTTTCGCAAAAATTTTTCTTTGATCATGCTTAACATTCTCGGCCAATATTTTGATTCTTCTTGCAACTTTTAAAAAGAGCTATGTTTATTTCTTGTAAAACACAACGGTATAGCTGCTGTTTTTTATTTTTCGTCAGATTTTACGCTTTGGAGATTATCATGAAGACTTTCGAACCCATTGAGAGAAGTTCCCCTGGGTTCCAGCTAAAATATTATCAAAGTTCGATTGGTAAGCCGTTTTCTTTATTGTCTTTTTGTTGATTTAGATAAAAGAATTCTTTCTTTAATTAATTGGACACTCTTCATCATCAACTATTGGGTTTTCTTTCGTGGTTTGGCACTGCAATGTTGTGTTAGTGAATTTTTTAGGTAACAATCGAGAATTTGAACTCCTTTTGGTCCAAAATCAACGAGACGGACGTTTTTAAGTGTTTAGAAATGGTTTTTGCGATTTTCAGGTTGTAAGAGAGCTAAAAAAATTTAAATTCTCGAGTGTTACCTAAAAAATTGGCTAAACGACAAGAATAATGCTCAATTTCTGATGAAAAATATAATTAAGAAGAAAAATTGTTAAAGTAACTATCTTTTTACCTATATTAACAAAAATAGAAGAAAGTAAACTATGCTATACATTAGACTTACCAATTGATCATGGGTAACACAAGGCAGAGGGTTTTTGCAGACTATGGAAATGTTTTGTATTTGAATGACGTCAAGCCGTCTTTAGAATTGTTGCAACGTCTATACAATTCCAAATAATCGTGTTTTTTTTATTTTTTTTTTGTGTTCGACTAATTTTTAGTATGTTTAACTGTTTTTTTTCAATATGAAAACAATTTTTGTAGTGTTTAACTTATTTTTTCTGGGTTTTTGATTTGTTCAGCTACTTTTTAAGCCTTTTTTTTATTTTAGTTTACTTTTTATCATTTTTTTGTAACTTTATAACGTTTTATAAACATTATTGTTGCGTTTTAATGTTTAACAATGTTTTTTATAAGCATTTACAATATTTAGTCTTTAAAAAGCAATGTTTGCTTAAGGTTCCAGGCAGCGATCAAACTTGACACTCTACAAAAATGATCTGTATATGATATTTTATATTTTAGAGCGTTAAACATTAGTTTAATCTTAGCCCCAGTGTTATTTTTGGCCCTAGCCCTAACCTATATATGTCCTTTCCTCTAGCAGTAGCCTTAGCCTTAGGGCTAGCGCAAATTTAAGTATAACTATATCTCTAGCTGTAGCTTTAGCCTTGTTCAGGCCCTAGCTATAGTCATGTCCCTAGCCCTACGCCAGTCTCAGCTTAAGCTTTGCTCAAGCCCTGCTTAAGCACTGCCAAAGTCCTGCCCAAGCCTTGCGAAAGCCCTAACCTTTGCCATATTCCCAGCTCTAGCTGATATCATATAACATAGTCTAAGTTACTTGACTTTCACTTCAAAGGACTTACACTTCATCACGTAGATCACAAAACGTACGTGCGAATCCGCCGAGTTATGTGTTATTGTAAGCGTTCGCTGAACCTTGATCAGCTGACGATTGTGTAGCGCGAGTCCGCTTTTCTTCTGGATTCCTTTAATCGAATCTAATCGTGAATTCCGGACTGTTTCGCAATGCGCACTTGTGAGTCACACAAGTAAGCGAATTTTTAGCATTTTTTACATTTTAATTGGAATTTGACTACCATGAGTTTGTGTTCTGTTGCTTTGAATCAGCCTTCTGAGAACACATTTGAAACAACAAAACATAAAGACATGATTTTTTGAAATTTTCGAAATTTTGAGTTTTTGAAAGGCTGATCAGCTGAATTTTATCGTTAGGGTAGGCTAAATTTATGCAAGCAGAAGCTAGGCTACGACTGTACTAGGGCTTGGACTGACGATAGGGCTGACCTAATAGTAAATTTAATCAGACCGGTTTTTTAGGTAACAACATGATACAAATGTACAGTTTTTTTTATTTCCAATATATGTTAACTAAAACTTGCGCGGGCGATGTGCAATTCGAATCCATCAAAAGCGATCACCATGTCAAAACATATGGTAATCATACGATTCACTCGCAGCTTGAATTCTTACGTATCTGCCTGGCACCGTGCCAAGGTCACAAGAAAGTTTTTTTTCTAATAAGCGTTTTTTCGCGAGCTTACTCACATATGTTGTTATGATTTTAGTCATCACAGGGAATCTTATTTTGTGCGATTTTACGGTAATTCCAAATTCTTGCGATTTTTGATGAAATGTTGGAAAAAGTACGATTTTACGAACTTTAAAGATACGGTAGGGATGTGACAACCTATGGTAGGGTAAGGTACGACTAGTGCTAGTTTAGGACTAGGGAACGCCTAGGGTAGGGTAGTATAAAGAGTAGAGTAGGGTAGGGCAGATTTAGGGTAGTATAAAGGATGGTAAAATCCTTTCATTACTGTAGGGCAGGGTAGAGCAGGGTATGATATGGTAAGATGGTCATAAAGCCTATGGCGGATGTAAACAAAGCCGTTTTTCTGGCTTCGGCCCTAGTTTTGGCTCGAACGTCTGAGTTAGCCCTGCCCAAAACCTGCTCAAGCCCTGCTTAAACCATGCACAAGAATTGCCCAAGCCCTGCCCAAGCTTTGCCCAAGCCCTGCTCTTTGTCACAAGGGTAGGGTGGAATTGTATAGGGCAATGCTATGGTCTGGCAAGGAAGGGTCGTCAGGCCCAGGGAGGATGTAAAAATTTAAAAACTGGTTAATGATACTGTAATGATCATATAAAAATAAAAAGCTAAAAATATGAAATTTTGGCAAAACGCCATAAAACGTTTGGGATCGAATTTCCCCACCTCAATCACATGTTTCGATATCGGATATGGGGATGAAATTGCATGAAACGAAACTTCCTGCTTCGAACTTGGAAACTACAACGGATGTTGTAATTGATATCCGCAACTCGTGTAGATGTTTTTGTTTGAACAGATGTTGTGATGCAATTTTAAATT